TCTTCATAGTTGTAGCCACTGTGGCCTTAACTTTCATTTACGGCCAAACTGGTTGTAAGTCTTCACAGTTGTAGCCACCGTGGCCTTAACTTTCATTTACGGCCAAACTGGCTGTAAGTCTTCATAGTTGTAGCCACCGTGGCCTCAACTTTTATTTACAGCCACTGGCTGTAAGTCTTCATAGTTGTAGCCACCGTGGCCTCAACTTTTATTTAGAGCCACTGGCTGTAAGTCTTCATAGTTGTAGCCACTGTGGCCTTAACTTTTATTTACAGCCACTGGCTGTAAGTCTTCATAGTTGTAGCCACTGTGGCCTTAACTTTTATTTAGAGCCACTGGCTGTAAGTCTTCATAGTTGTAGCCATTGTGGCCTTAACTTTTATTTACAGCCACTGGCTGTAAGTAAAAAAAAAGTCTTCAAAAAAGTCTGGCAAAAGTCTTCACAGTTGTAGCCACTGTGGCCTTAACTTTTATTTACAGCCACTGGCTGTAAGTCTTCATAGTTGTAGCCACTGTGGCCTTAACTTTTATTTAGAGCCACTGGCTGTAAGTCTTCATAGTTGTAGCCACCGTGGCCTCAACTTTTATTTACAGCCACTGGCTGTAAGTAAAAAAAAAGTCTTCAAAAAAGTCTGGCAAAAGTCTTCACAGTTGTAGCCACTGTGGCCTTAACTTATTTAGAGCCACTGGCTATAAGTCTTCATAGTTGTAGCCACCGTGGCCTTAACCTTTATTTACAGCCACTGGCTGTAAGTCTTCATAGTTGTAGCCACCGTGGCCTCAACTTTTATTTAGAGCCACTGGCTGTTTGTCTTCATAGTTGTTGTAGCCACTGTGGCCTTAACTTTTATTTACAGCCACACTGGCTGTTAATCTTTAAAGTTGTAGCCACCATGGCCATAACTTTTATTTACTGCCACACTGGCTGTTAATCGTCATAGTTGTAGCCACACACTGGCTGTTAATCTTCATAGTTGTAGCCACCGTGGCCTTAACTTTTATTTACGGCCACGCTGGTTTTTAATCTTCATAGTGGAGGTGATCTGTCTTGTCTCCCTAGAAATATCGCTTCATTAAACTTCTTAAATGTAAATTTAACAAATTTCTCAAAAAAAAAGGTACGAAAAGGATGCGCAAACCGCAAAGGCCAGTGTGGCCGTAACCAGCAGAGCCTAGCAGCCACTGTGGCGGTGATACGCCTTGTCCCCTGAGAAATATCGCTACGATAAACTTCTTAAATGTAAATTTAACAAAAATTCCCATTACTGAACATGACTTCCCAAAGTTTAAATTCACGTTCAGCAGTTGGGATCGGGTAGGGGCCCTACCTGCACGTTCAACGGCACCCTGTCACACTCAATTTCACCCGAATGTCATTGAAAACGAAAAAGGGTCTTAGTCTTCTTCCAATCCATAAATTCAAGTCAAACTCGATCCAATTAGACCGAATAACACCCACACACACCTTAGGAGGTCTTAAGTAATGTTTATGGGCATTTTTAGTAAAAAGCCACATTGGCCTTAAGGAGGTGTGCTAACGGCCACTGTGGCCTTTCAGAATTTATTACGGCCACCATGGCCTTTCAGGATTTATTACTGCCACCATGGCCTTTCAGAATTTATTACGGCCACGGTGGCATTTCATTACAGTATTTCATTACAGTATTTATTACCGCCACGGTGGCCAGAAGCATACGGCCAACGTGGCCTTTATGAATTTCTAAACCATGAAGGCCACCGTGGCCATAACCAGCATAGCCTAGTGGCCACAGTGGAGGTGATCTGTCTTTGTCTCCTTAGAAATAAAATTCCCCAAAAAAGATAAGAAAAAGTTGCGCAAACCATAAAGGCAACCGTAACCAGCACAGCCTAGCGGCCACTGTGGCAGTGATACGCTAAGTATAAAGGCCACTGTGGCCGTAACTGCAATATAACATCTTACACTTAAATCTCTTCTAAAGTATATATATCCCTCATGATCCTTTGTTATATGACAAATAATGTGTGTTAATTAAATTATCCATATAGCTAGTTAAGGCCGGGCAAATTAACTCGGCGGCACCAAAGGCTCCGGCGCATGTAGGCGTTTTATAAAATAAATACCTGTTTTAGTACCTTGTTTGCTTATTTATAATGACCCTACAGATATATATTATGGTTTTGATAAGATTACTCGCCTTTGTTTAATTAATAGAATATCACATTTAATAGGAACTTTGCACGTCGCCATTTTGAAGTGAGCGTGGCCCAGATCCGTTTGACTCTGGAATGATGTGAACGCTAAAATCAATATATTCTAATGAATATATCGTTGTCTATGTTTCTTGTCATACAAATTACAGTGATCCTAATTTCCCCTATCAAATAATGTATAACACCTGGTGTTATGCCGTAAAATTACTGAGAAATCAAAGTTCAAGCCACTGTGGCCCTAAACTATAACATTTACAGCCATGCTGGCGGGAACTAATAACCTAGGGCCATGGTGGCTGGAACTTGTACTTATAGCCACAGTGGCTTAAATCATAACAGCCACAGTGGCCCTAAAATAATACATTTACAGCCGTGCTGGCAGAAACTTATAACCTACGGCCATGGTAGCTGAAACTTATAGCCACAGTGGCTTAAATACTTATAGCCACAGTGGCTTAAATCATAATAGCCACAGTGGCTTAAATCATAATAGCCACAGTACAGTGGCCCTAAACCAATACATTTACAGCCATACTGGTGGAAACTAATAACCTACGGCCAGTAGAATTATTTTTTAGGACAATGTTTCAATTAATCCGTTCAAGTGATTTGCAGAGTAGATCACAAGCACTTACAACATAACTATTGTTTTAAAATAACTTTAATTAATCTTTTTTGATATTATGTGAGATTTATTCTGGGATTTGTTTCATCTAATATTTAATTTGTAATAGGCCTACTGTAGTTCAATGTGACTTGTAAAATGTTCTATATTTTGATGAATAACAGTTAGAGGTAAGTTATTTTTTGAGGTAGATTGGAATAGTATTGGTCATTTTATTATAAAACTTAACTTGTTCAAGTGGGGTCTGCCTGATGTATTGCCAAAGAGTTTAAATTGGAGACCAGTGGTTCATTAGCAAGTGCAACACACCCAGAAACAACTTCTTGCACAATTTCACTTGGACTTTCTGAACAGGTGAGGTGACTTCACTGTTATGACAAACATTAGCACTTTAAACGTGACGGTGTAGGTAGAGAAGGGAAGACTAATGTGTGTTGTAGCCATCCGTTGTTGGTGACTGAAGTTTGCGCTTTTGGAGTAGACCATCCTTTCCAGTAAGAGATTGGTGGGTTCACTAGTGGGTAGAAGCAGAACCCATATCCAATTTTTAGGAGAGTTGGAAGTCGAAACTTGCGAATTGCTGGAGTTTGGGTCAGTGTGGATCGAGCTTTCTGTAGAGATGATCTGTTGTAAGCATTGTGCAAAACGAAAAAAGAAATCGGTCCCGGGTCTAGGTCTTACCATGAGACCTACAGGTATGAGGGTAATAGCTTATTCCCTATATGGGAAATTCGCTAAAACTAAAAAAACAATAGTGCTGCAACCTGTTGGAAATAACTGGTTGGTAACTGTTGGTAAGCTTTGTAACTTTTAATGCTATAACATCATATAATCAACTTGTTTATTTGAAACAGCTGTTAAGATTAATTAATTCCTTTTTAATATGAATACTCATAAGGTTAACGTGTGAAACTCCAGAGCCACTGGGACGGAGCCCGAAATTCAGATCAGAATACCGATCGGATACGCTCGGCAATGCCTTTCGTATATCATCGTTTTTGCTCTAGCGTCGGTCGAAGGCAGACCACGTTAGCGTGTAGTGGGTGACTTGCTTTTTGTTGTGTTGTAGGTTGGTAGTAAAATTTCCCCATAAAATCCCCGTCTGGCAAACTTAAAAATCAACTTGTTGTCCCGTCTTTCTCCCTCCAATTGGCAATACGATGGGACCGGCTACGTTCCAAGCAGTGCTGCCATATATGAGTGTTTAGTAAACTACATCGACTCTTGTTATAAAACCGGACATCACCGCACGTTATTTGCTATTCGTCATACCGAAATATGAGAGCCAAACACCCGGCAATCGGGTTTGTTCGACGCTGCGGGCTGCGCCGCACTGGGGCTACGCCTGTCATTTGATGGCCCGCAGCGAACGTGTTAATGCCTAAAGAATCAGTGTACCAAATTTCAGTCTCCTAGGTAAATGGGAAGTAGGAGAATTAGTGATGGATGAGTCAGTCAATGAGGGCTTTGCCTTCTAAAGGGTGTTTTTTTTTTACTTGCTTCTTTATTTATGTAAAAACTGCAATAGATAGAAATATGCAGTTTGCGGGAATCGGCTATTGACGTAGGGGCCACAATTGTTGTGAATTTAATGTGAAGTTCCAACGGGACCTTTCTCCCCCTACCCTTAACTTAAAATTTTTAAATTGCAAGTTACCCATTCTAAAATTTAGAAGTGGTACCTTGCAATTTAAAAGTTTTAAGTTAAGGGTAGGGAGAGAATGGGAACTTCACATTAAATTCACAATTGTGGCCCCTACGTCAATAGACGATTACCGCAATCTGCATATTTCTATCTATTGCAGCTTTACATAAATAATGAAGTTTTTAAAAAAATACCCTGTATATAGATTTATTTAGGTATTCGTTTATGGAAATATTTTAGTACCAGTAAAAATCCAATCAACAAATTGAAATCATCTCAACCTGCAATATTGCTGCGGCAGGGGTATTTAAATCTAGTGGCGTTAATTACTTCAACAAGGGCCACTCGGTGGTGCTAATTCTTACATCAAAGACCACATGATGGCGCCTATTTTTTATGTGTGGCCTTAGTTTTAAAATCTAGGGCCACACGGTGTGCTAAGCTAATTCTTATATCAATGGTCAAAATGACTTACATTAAGCTCACCTGCATTGGTTAATTTATCTATTGTAAAAACTCCTGTATATTTTGTTTCAGATCTTGAATTAGAAAGCGAGGCCGCAATCCTACTTAACACCGTCAACAACTTTTGGAGAGAAACTTAAAAATTAACTTCCTAGTTAGCACTGTATTTCTATTGAACTTAAAACGTGCCAGAGAAAGTAATGTTCAAAAACTAATCACTTTCTTACTTTATTGGTATTTAAAATACGATAAGTTGTTTTGCAATTCAGTTTTTAATAGTTTGTTTCGATAAAGTCTGGTATCCAGGTATCTTAGTTAAGTTTATTTTCAAAATGTATCTTTATACAATTAAACGCATCTAAATTCATCCGTATATGTGTAAAACCTTAAAGAGAAGAGAACTAGTTGTTTTAAACTGTATTCAAGCTGACTACAAAAGCTATGGAAATTTAACATTTTAATTTTTGTAATATACTGTATTAAGACACAGTTTTAATTAGTAATTCTGTGAATTGTGCACCATTCTGTCAGCAAATCATGGAACCATATTTTGAATTGTCAGTCTGTATATTTTTGCTTGTCTGTGATTCTATCCAGCATGTTTCATAACGTACAAATAGCCGTCAATTTGAATTATGTTAAACAGTATCAAATGTAAGTTTTTAATATTTGTTGTAACATTCATTCATTTGTTTCCACACGCTTTGGGCTCTTATACTAGCCAAAGTTGTGTTAAAACATGTCAGTAGATTTTTTTGCATTTAACTGTTCATTCCTTATTGTTTTGGCAGTATTTTTGTATTCTATTGTATAGATTTCTGTGAACTATAATGTTATATATATTTTTTTTTAAATAAACTGTAAGTTACAAGTACGCAAGTGCTGTGTTTTTTTTATGAAGCTTGCAATAAAGTCCCTTTATCCTGTCAAACCATGATCTATTTGCCTTTCCTTTAACATATATCTTCCTAGAAACTTCTACTCTTAAACTTAGATACCATGGACTACTTAACTCCATGATCATGGGCCTATAACAAATGCCATCTCAGCTTCAAATTTGTTTTGTTTCAGGGGTTTAAAACAAGGCCCCACTAGAAAAACAGGCCATGCTGCAGGACCCATGACGTCACACTAGTGGATTGGATAGATTTGTTGTTGATAGATTCACTGCAATATCCCATTTAGGTAAATTAGCTGGCTATTTGTCAGATTTTAATGGTAAGATTTTAGTACAACTATCCACCACTGTGACATAGTGTTGCGCTGCAGCATGGCCTGTTTTTCTAGTGGGGCCTTGTTTAAACGCAAAAGTTAAGTCACTCGGTAATGTGCGTATCAATACAGATATTGATACAAGGACTGTAAAATTTCGATATTTTGTATCGTTACGTGGGAGTGTAACAATATGCCCGTATCGATACACCTGTTATATAGCTAATATCGTACTGTCTATTTATTAATATAAATCTAATTTTTAAGGTAAAAAATTTGTCTTCCCAGCTTCCTCCCCTCAAATTTAGCAGTGAAAATTTGATATTTAACCCGACCATCCTCAAAAACACTGATAAACAATGTATTTTTAGCTATGTTTTGCAAATAACCTCAAAACTAGGGCCATCATTAATGGAAGCAGCACCCTCACTATACATATTATACTATTAAATGTGTAAGTTACCTTCCCACCATCATTATAAGTACTTTTTCTAAAATTAACTATCCATGTGCAAAAACTAGAAAAACAATAACAAAATGTTTTCTAATTTTGAGGGTTTACTGGAATTTGGAGGTTATGTAGGATTTTGATACAGATAAAAAGACACAGGAAACGGCTTTTCTGAGGTGAGATATACCCCTAACCTTCTTTACAAGCATATAAGTATATAGTATTTGTTTCTGCAGCTCGAATATTTGAAATATTTGTATTTTTTCTAATTAACCGATACTATATTTTATCCGATACGGGTAAAAGTCGATACACGAAGATACGATACGATACACATATCGATACATTGACCCGTATCGCACATCACTAGTAACTTCAAAAATACTAAAGTATTTAAGTTTGGTATTGAAATTTTAATTTAGAAAGGAACAGTCCAAACTCTGATCATGTTACTATCAATCACACATCTAATAATATTAATGTGAAGATGGATACATAATAGTAAACCTCACAAAAACAAAGTATTTACACATTTGTAACAGCTGTTTATTATATTTTTGAAGTAATAAAACATGTAAATATAAGAATTGCACAGATGCTCCATATAAATTAACTTAATGAATAAAGCATTTTTTTAAATTATACATTTTCATCAAACCATATTCATGAGGTCCCCTCCAGTAGGTTAATAATTAAAAATGAGTTTCTGTACAAATTGTTTATTTTTACAAACAAGCGACTAGGCTGGACGAATAATATTGTCGATACATGTTTTTTTTTCAGAACCTAACTATTACATTATGGAACATATTTTAAATTGAGGTTTTAATTCTTTGCCTTCTCTCATATCAATGGCTTTAACATATAGGAAGGTATCTTTCTGTTGTTCCTCAAGGAACGCAGGTAATGGTTTGTTCCAATCTGCAGGTGGTTGCGAGCGGTTCTCCCAGACAGGATTTTTGTAGTGAGGGTCTAAACGAACTTGGCGCCGTGCCTCTTCACTGGCAATGACTTTCTCCTGAAAAAGCGAATAAAAATATATTTATAAAGACATTTGATCTTGGCAAATATCTTACATATATATATATATTTTGCTTTTTCTTTTCCGAGTTCGTCGTTTGACTCTTTTACCCGACCGATTTTCATGATTGAGGTCTCAAATTGAAGGTATGTACTGTATTACTCAATTAAAAATCATAAATTTGATTTTTCTCTGGTATTACATTTATTCTTAGTTAAATAATTAATTGCATTATAAGCTGCTTAAAATGTTAATGACTGATCTCTAAGTTCAAGTGTTGTAAGAGTTGTAGGTTTACAAAATGTCTCATAACCTAGGTTATTTTAGACCTTACACTACAGTGATGACAAAACACAAACAGTGGCGTAAGGTCTAATTCTCATTTTAGACCTTCCGATACTCGTCCAAAATGTAAACTATATGCCGAAGGTCTAATTAGACCTTACGGGGATTTATACCCTCAGCAACTGATCCCTTTACTCTACAGTTAAAGTCTGATTACAGCTGATTTAATGTTATAATCTACAACTTACAGCTGCGTCTACATCCTTCTCACGCTTCCATTTCAAACAGTTGTTGTAGTCATGCTTCCACTCGTCGCAGTTTTCAAACTTTCCAAATACAAAGTATTGTTGAAACCGGCCTCTGATACTTGTGCAGTCACTGTATTCATCGTCATACATATTACAATTTCTGATCTACAAAAAATAGAACATTCATTAAACAAAGAAATAGAAGATTGATAATTATTGAAAACAAATGTTATTTAACAAATGGCAGTTTCTAAATGCAGTTAACTCAATTATATCTGGACTTGGACTAATCCAACCCGAAGAGGTAAGTTTAAACAGTTTTGTATCTCCAATAAACTAGGGTCAAAACTGAAGTGAATTAAGTGTAATGCACTGATTTTAGTACTCGTGATACAAAAAACTAGAGTTGCTGTACAAAATTAAAGCTCTGTTTATTGTCAACTAAACTTAGGAATTGTTTTGCTAAAAGTTGAGATTGTGAGTCCTAAGCTATTGCACTGGTTAGTTATCTCAGTTTTTGCATTAATGTGAATCTGCCAAAAACTCACCAATAAATAGTGCGTACGCTTGTAAATATGGAATGATGGCGCTATTTCGGGAAAATAAGCAAGCGCAGCAAAATATCTAATATGGTCACGTGATAAAGGACATGTTCAGGTATAGATCAGTAAGGTCGTATCTCAGGAACGAATTAGGGTCATACAATGGAGGTGTAAAATGACAAACTGCTTATACCAAAATCTATTGATGGCCCCATTGCGGAAAAAAAGGCACGCGCAGGATAATACCTATATGGTCACGTGACTAAGGACATGTTCACGCATAGGATATCAAGGTCATATCTCAGGAATGAATTATTCGAAATGACAAACCAGGGAGCTGTGACACATCCACACGCATCAGTGTTTTTGTATAGTTCGTCACCGGAATTGGTTTGGATTTGGGTTGTTTCGCAGCAGACCTGCAGACCCGGAGTCAACGTCCGCTGTTCTGAAACATGAGAAGTCAGAAGGCCTGTGATTGTCAACCGTTCCATGTTTGTAAAAATGTATCTCTGAAAATAGTTTGATGTGTTTGTTCTTCTTGCAAAATATTTTCGTCGTTATTGATTAGGTCATGGAATAATTTCCCCAAACGTCAGATGAGGTCCTGTATGGGAGGCCTTTAATTGTTCCTGACCTCGGAGAGTACTCCACCTTCTCCCTCTTCAAGCTGCGAGCTACCCTACAGCTCCGGGGACCATTAAGCTTCATGTGATGCCCTTTGCCTTAATGAAGACCATCACTGCCGCTCCATTCCGTGAGTTTAATTCTGGACTTGGATCATTTTAAAATTCTGGAAACTTTATTTTATAAATTTTAATGGGGCCAAACAAAATGTATGATTGGTTATTTGTTTCTAGCCATTTGGTATTTGGACCAATTCGTTAATACCAAAAAAAGATTCAGAAGGTCCAGATTCCACTATAAACTCTAGGTTCCATAGTTGCCATTAGCTGTATGGGCTATTAATTAACAGCTGTGTCTAAGGAATATGTCGGCCTTAGTCACTAGCAAGACTACAAGATAGCGCCACTCATCCTACACTCATCTCCATTCATACTTGGCTTAAAATATCTACTTTGTATGGTCGCCATTTCAATAAAATCCTCCCACTTTTCAGTTGTTAGGTAGGGATGTGGGAGGACTACTAGCACTGACACAATGGGGTGGGGGGGGGGGTCGGCTCACCAAGCCAAAAGTATTGATGACCCTATTGCAGAAAAATAGGCCCGTGCGGGATAATACCTATATAGTCACTTTATAATAGTCATGTTCACAATTAGAACAAATAGTGTTTTTAGTCTCTAGGGACATCAAAATGAAAAAGTAAATCGGTCTCGGGCCCAGGACTTGCTATGCCACCTACGGTAATAATTACTTACCTAAAGGGAAATTTGATTAAAGAGCATATTTTGGATCTAGCACTAAGTGGTGCTCTAAAACAGCAATACATGTTTATAAACCAACAGCTGCACGCATCCAAATAATGAAAACATCTGACTTCCACAAATGTTTGGACAATGTATCACTTTGACCTAAGACAAAAACCGAAATATCTCTGCAGGCAACCTAACTATAGTAAGTTTGATATAGATTTCTTTTCCTTCATTTTCATGTTTATTTTTTTTCCTCTTCGAAATACATGCCGGGAAATAGTTTTACAAACTACTAATAAAGTCGTTTCAAGGCCATATGATAAACTTTTACCCTTCTTCAATCGAGGGAGTGTAGAGAAAAAATCAATAGATTCTCAAAAATGTGATATGTTTATTTTCCCTGCATTAAAAGTTGAGGTAAATGAGTAGTCTAAATTATAGATCATTTAATTATCTTTCCAATGTTATAATTTGTTTAGTGATTACTGTATACTTTTTTATACTTTCTACTTTTTCAATGAAATGGCGACCATACAAAGTAGGTATTTTAAGCCAAGTATGAATGGAGATGAGTGTAGGATGAGTGGCACGATCTTATAGTCTTGTTAGTGACTAAGGCCGACATATTACTTAGACACAAGTGTTAATTAAGGACGCGTTGCAGAAAGTCAACAGTCCCGGAAGGTCAAATAATTTATACCTGTGCCACTAGGTCAAAAACTACAATGTTTGCAGTGTCTGTAGATCAAAAATCACAGTAAGTCAAATAGTACAGTCCGGGCTAAAAACGTAGTCTATGTTAAAGCAATTGACTTATTGGGAATTTGACCTAATGCAACAGCAGTTTAAATAAAACGAAATAAGATAAAATATAAGTTCAGTTTCGCTGAGTCAACAGTGCCGGAAGGTCAAATGTATAATCTGTTAAAAACAACGATAGTCCTCTCGACGCATGACTTCAATAATTTCAAGTTTTGGTGTACTTTAAGTTGTGCTAAGATTTTGAAAATTGGCACAGAGCTTCTTGGTTAGTCCTACTCAATGACTATTTTGTTGGAACTTTAAACTATTTACCGATATAATTAATAAAAATTGATATGTATGGTGAAATAGTTTTAAATCGTGATTTCTAACATGAAAAAGTTAGCATGCGAGATTTTTGTTTGTTTTTGGGTTAGAGAGGTTTTGTCTGTGGCAAAGTTGTAGCCAAAAGTGTGATGGGTAAAATATATTTTTTTGAATTTTTTACAATCAGTGGTTCAATAGATAACTTGGGTTGAAGAGGACGGCAAATTTAGCATTTCGCAACGCATGGAAAGAACTACATCGTACGATGCGACTGCTGAGTTGACTTTTAATTTACAGTTCTAAGGACAAGAAAAAGATGAATACAGATTACCAGTACATTCATATTATTTATAAAACATCTTTCTGTATTACCAGCTTACATTTTTCACTTATATTAATAAGAATACATCACAAACAAGGTATTAAAAATAAGCGGAGAGACACTTTACCTAGTAATTCCTTGGGTCAAAATAAACAGAAAATGAAGGATAACATTTTTTCCAAAATCGTTTCGTTAACCAGATATCCGCCATTTTGTATTTTTTACATACAAATATTTATCTTTACACTTTTCCAACCGATGTTTATGAAACTTGGTATGTACGTTAAGGTAGGAGAGACCCATGTTATAAAAAAAGATTCATCTCGATTCACCCTAAAATTTCGAAATTTAACACTTAACTACAATATAATATACTTTACTATACCACAATATTTACGTATCACCATAAATCTTTAATAAAATAAAACGTCCACTTTTTAAAATCCAAAGTAAATCAATTTAATCTTCCTTTTTTGAAAAATATAGTAAAAAAAATTAAGCGGTGTTAAAATAACGTCAGGCGAGTTTCGATCTGGGTGTTTAAGGTTTGAACCTAGGAGGATTTAACATTAATTAACATTAATGTTTAATCCTCCTAGGTTTGAAGTGATTGAGAGGAATACATGAAACCAAAGGGGGGAGGTAGCAACAAGTGCACTGGTACTTACTAGTGTCCAATTACAATTTCAATTGTAATTGGGATATCGGATACGGTAAGAATTAGAGAAAACTTTAAATGGGGGACATTCCTTTATTTCTTGTGGCAGTTAAAAATATGATTTTAGTTTTTTGAAATTCAGCCGCCATTTTCCAAAATGGCGGCCAAATTTGAAATTTCTTATGGAACACCCTATATTTTATCATGTTTTCGGATAGAATATGCAATTTAAAAACTTTTTTATAATTGACATTTTTTCGATAAACCGACTCGTTTAGGAGTTATAGCCTATGGAAAAATGACTTCCGGTGTACATTTTACATCATGTAGCTCCTAAACAAGTAAGTTTATAGCAAAAATGGGAAGAGTAAAAAAGTCTTACAATTGCATCCACATTCCAAAAAGACCATAAAATTCATTAAAAATATGAATTATATTATTTAAAAAAATGGCAGCAAACTTGAAAAGTGGAAAACTTTTTATTTTATAGTCTTAAAGGAATGTAGATGCAATTCTAAGACTGATTTACTTTTTGCAATTTTGCTCTAAACTTACTCGTTTAGGAGCTACATGATGTAAAATGTTAACCGGAAGTCATTTTTCCATAGGCTGTAATCCTAAACGAGTGGGTTTATCAAAAAAATGTCAAAGCTAACAAAGTTTTTAAATTGCATATTCTATCCGAAAACATGATAAAAAACTAAAATCATATTTTAACTGCCACAAAAATTAAAGGTATGTGCCCCATTTACCGTTTCCGATTTCCCAATGGTGGACTCCGTGAGTTGATCACCCTGTATATATGAATTTGAACGGATGGTGTTTTTGGCCTCTAGGGACCTCAAAACGAAAAATTAAATCGGTCCCGCGGGTCCAGGTGTTACCATAAGTACTACGGTAATAGCTTATTCCCTATATGGGATATTCGCCAAAAACGTAATAGTTATATAGAACAATATTACATTCAACCAGCTGTTAGTTAAAACAATTTATATGGGACTAAAACAAATCAATGATTATAAAGATTCCTTTAAAAATAATTTGAACATCCTACAATTTTACTATGCATATTTAATTAATCTGCCATCCTCATACCTAAGAATTGAATGGATCAATGGTCAGCATTACACATAGTATAAATATGTCAACTCTAAATATGTCTTTAAATTTGTTTCCAAATGCTGAATGTTTACAGCTGTTATGTTAAGCAAATTATATTGTACTAAAAGCTAGCTTAGAAGGTAAGCGTCGGCTGCTAGACTTCTTAAAAATTGAAACTTAATTTCTAAAAAACTGGGACCCTTAATTATAATTATGGCTTTGACATTCCCTAGTTCTCAAAATTCTTTATTTCAACACAAAAATAATGAAAATCCGTCGACTGGTTGATTCAGAATGTGAAAAAACCATATTTACGTTTTAATAATATATATGATAGTTTGGACAGGTTTCAACCCTTCCGAGGCGTAATACATTTACACAGTTTATGTGTAGACTACATTATAACTTATAAAATAGTTCCAAAATTAAATGGATCTCCTTTTACAAACGTATATAATGACCAGAAATTTTTAGATCGTCCTTGCGTGTATTTTATGCCACAAATTTTGACGAAAGGCTTTTCATTACATAAACTATACCTATTTACAGTGTTGACCAAACAGTTGGCAAGAAGCATTAATAGATAAGCTATGTACCAAATATGATAATTTTAGCTCTATTCTAATTATGACAAAACACGAAGTAACTAAAAGCAAGTTTTGTTGGTGTAGTAAGCGTTGCAGGAGGTCTACTTTACACTGAATCGACGTTCACTTTTATTGCTTTTGATCTTCCGGCACTGTTGACTCAGCGAAACTGAACTTGTATTTTACCGTATTTCGTTATATTAAAACTGCTGTTGCATTAGGTCAAATTCCCAATAAGTCAATTGCTTTAACATAGACACCACGTTTTTAGCTCGGACTGTACTATTTGACTTACTGGGACTTTTGATCTACAGACACTGCAAACATTGTAGTTTTTGACCTAGCGGCACAGGTATAAATTATTTGATCTTCCGGGACTGTTGACTTTCAGCAACATTCCCTTAATTAATAGCCCATACAGCTAATGGCAACTAAAGGACCTATACAGTTTATAGTGGAATCCGAACCACATTTTTGCCTTGGTATATATTATCAGTTCCAATAATTGTTATAAAAAAGTCTGCTGCATTTGACTAAAAAATTGTTTAGCCACCATCTCATCGTAACCAAACGACTAACAAAGTCATTTGGCTGCTTTAAGTGTAACCTAGTAGATGTTTTGCTGAATCAGGAATTACAAAAAAATTAATAAACATATGAGAACTGAGAACCACATGTAAAAGTTGAAATACTTCAAATTAAAAACAAATTAAAAACAAATTAAAAACAAATTAATTAACAGCTGATTTCAATGCCAATATTTCATAAGGTTATCATGGCAACTTTGAGGGCCGCTGGGACAAAGCCCTCACCATACATTGAGCTAATTTTATGTTTAGCAAAACTTGAGAGTAAGCCCTTTAAAATAACACCAAAAACGTCAAAATTGGTTGAAAATTCTAAAGAGTATTCACAAAATAGCCCCTTCCAAATTAATAATATATATAACTATATATAGAGATAAAAAATTTAAAGCTACCGTATCACAAAATGAATGTGTAAAAAAATTATTCATCTGGTCGTAATGTAATAGTTTATTAAGTTACTAGTTCTAAAAATAAAGTGTTTCCAGATGAGTGTGGTCGTTCCCGTGAGAGACAAAGTCGAGTGTCGACTAATCCTTATAGTCTCACCAACGAAAGGGCTAACAATCAATACCTACTCATAACTTCTAAGAGAGGTTAAAATGTTTTTGTTCCTAACCACTCATTGCTAAATATAATTAGCTGGTTGGTGTCCGGTAAAAACACATTACAGTACAGTAGACAATAGACAATGGACAATAGACAGTAGCACGTAATGAAACCCCATTTGATTAAGATGGTGATAAATAGCTGTTTTCTGGACTAAAGCATGGGAAGTTTGTTAAAACAGTGTAGTGTGGGGTAAAACATTTTTTCTCAATAGGCCCTAGGAGGGGGGAAACTTAAGATAGTTTGGGATCTATTTCCAAGGCCACCTTAACCATGTGGAATTAACCTTTTTTTATTTCTTAGGTCTTTTCTCAATTTAGTTGAGACATACTAAAACCACTTATCAATCAACGCATAGGTATCTCATTTCACCCTGCTATTTTAATTGAAGATGTTTCAGGTGTTAGAAAGAAATAATTTCTAGAAAAAACTATAAACAGTTTATTTATTAATATCAAACAAAGCTAATATTTTGAAGCTTAACAAAACACGTAATTGTATAGTTTATTAACTATATAAAAATTAAACATAAAATATCATGTGAAAAAGTGTATGTATTGAGACATAATAAAAATAATGATTATATTCCTCCTTCTTCCCTATCCTCATGGTCCCAATCATCTCCTCCAACAGTCTCATTGTACCACTCATCATCAGGCCTGAAATAATTGCAGGGATTAATATATAGATATTAAAACCTGTATTCTATGAACAAATAATCTGTTCAGCATTGTTTTATGCCAACTTGTTTCATGTGCTACTTCATTATGGTACCGGGGGACCGAGCCATGGCTCGGTAGTTTATTTTGATTGTAAAAGCAAAACGAAACACTTCAGCATGAGCATACTCTCTAAAATACTCTCGTATGATGGATTAGCTGAAGAAAGATAAGTCTGATTCAGGTATATTATTTACCGTACTTTAAAGATTATTGTAAAACAATTAACTTAGCTCTCCAAATTATGTGAACTATAAACAAGATTGCATAAAAAAAAGTAAAATCTACCCTTAAATAAGTGTGAAAAATTTAGTTGAGGTCAGTGCACTCGCACCCCACCAACCTGAAATTATCATCAACACATTAATTTATTTTTCCTACAGCGACCCGACAAAGTTGGCTTCCTTGTACTGTTTATAGTACAGAAAGCTGTTAATTGCTGCATATTTATATGCATTTATATGCATTTATATTATCTTTGTCGTACGGTTTATACTTTGGCGCACATCAGGATTCCAACGAAACATAACAAAACAGCGTGGTTCTATTATGCACGTAATCCGTGTACGCTTGGAAATAGGTTGGCAACACTTAAAGATAGCAGCTGATTGACTATTATAACTAGGATTTAACCCTTCATTTCGTGTTTATAGTTTATGTTCTCTTTTCGGTATTTCTGAATTCTGGACTTTTCTTTTAAACGTTTTTAAAACATTCCTACGATCTTAATAAACAAGAAAATACCTTTAAAGCATTTTTTTAGGTGAGGAAACCACAGCAAATTACAAAAATATAAGGAACTATTTTCTCATGTCGCGGAGCACATTGCTTGCCGAGGAAAAAATAGCGGAGTGATACAGACCGGGGACTACTTTCTCTAGGGCACCTATTTGTGTTGCCAGCTGAACCTAAAAACGTGTTGTATAGTATTTAAAAGACTAATTATTTATATGCTTTATAGTGACTGTAGGAAAAATATAATGTGTAACACGAGTGCAAAAGGCCTTTGCTGCACTTGAGATCATTCTGCACTTGCCTGCGGCTCGTGCGTAAATATTGCTCTCGTGTGCAGCAACGTGCCACTTTGCTCACTAGTTACACAAATAACTATTACAGACGAAGGTAAAAATTACTCGTTTATAATAGCCTATTCTTGCATGGACATTGTTCTGACTTTGTTTGAATTAAAACGGCTGATTGAAAATTTTTGTTGGTTACATAAAATAAATAAATAATATTAAATATTTATGTGACTGTTGAACCAAAGTTTGCTAACAATTGCCTCAGTACTTTGGGGATTAAGTTTTGGTAGGAGAGAGCCAAGTAAAATAATCAGTATTTGATCGGAACTATTTTCTCCTATAACAAGTAATCTTCAGTGTAATCTTTTCTCAATAGTTACCAACTGATGTTTATCACTCTATACTCTATTTTGTAAATTTGCTCGGTATACTATGGATGGCTTGTTATAAACACATGTTATAAGTCTCTTAGTTTACTTTTTTCTTGATATTTTGTTAAACCAACATAGTTACTTAGCAAACCATAAGGCCAATGTTATATTTTTAAATTTCCATATGAGTTGTGTAGTGAAATACAAATTTTCCTGAGCCAATCACGTTTTTATGGCTCTTCCCTGACTCCAAATTCAGTCAAAATCCTTCTGCTGGATATTGAGATAGCCTATTACAGCCAGACAGACATAGCTCGTATTAGAATAGGATAATAATTTGATGGCACAGTAAAAAATTTAGTGTAGAGTGGGGTTTTGTCTTCGATTTAGTGAAAATTAATAAAATAACAATAACTACTGTAGTGTAGCATTGTGGAAGGAACCTAACCTCAAAATTGTGCTTGGTGCCTCTTTTGCGGTATTTTTTGTTGGCATATCCGGGTTTTTGCCGCTGCTTTTTCCCTCCATTTGGCAATACTGACGGCCTACTAGCAGTTTTGCTAACAGCTGATATCTGTTGGGATCTTTGTACATTTGATCATGTAACTTAATTGTAGGCATAAACAAAAATTATATTAGGTTAGTTTCAAAAGCCTGAAAAGACAATATTTTTCAGTGTAATTTAAAAAAAAAATTTGGGCCATCTCTTTACTTAAAAGTTAAAATGCATGTCATACTATGAATTTGGGGGGATTCTTTGACAAGGGCTTTGGGGCGACGGGTACTCCTGGATTAATGATAGTAAATTTGAGGAAATAGCAAAACTTACTCTTCTTCCTGCCTCTCAATGTTATATCTGCCTTCTGCAACACGCCTTCTACCTCCTCTTGCTCCCCCTCCACCTTGAAATAAGTTCAATTCAGAATTAACTATAAGACAAAATGTGGATAATATTTTATGTCAAAATATTCAGCCAAAATCAAAACTAAAACATATCCTGCTTCCAGTAATTCAAATCCTCAAAATAGAAAAACCCGCCTGCTTTTCTATTCTTGATGCAAAACTGACGATAATTTTCTCTTCCTCCTGTTTAAGCTGGAAAAACTTATCTTTCAAAAGCCACATTTGAGTGTGGTCTGAAATGATCATCGAAAGCTTTCATTTCATATAATCATAGAACTCATGATTTGATATTTTAAGCAAATTAAAAGTTTCCACTGCATATCACCCCCAACATTGAAAAAAATAGGAGAGGATATGAGGAATATTTAACATTCTTGTTTGAATTGACACCATTGTGTACTAATTATAAAGTAACTTAAACCAGGTCGCTGATAATAAAATTAAAGATAATGATAAAAAATAAATAAGAAAATAAAAGCTGTAGGCTAACTTTAAATATATTACACACCTCGGCGTCCTTGTCCCACACCTCTTCTTCCTCTTCCTGTGCCTCCTCGTCCTCTTTCTCTGTAATATCTCCTCCAACACCGGAGGATGTAATATCTCCTCCAACACCGGAGGATGTTAATAACAACACGGTCATTATACTGGAATTGTTCTGTAAGGATATATTGCAAAGATTTAGTGATAAAATTGTTTTTAGCATACCGGTACTGATAATACAATTGTATAACAAGATCAGGATAAAAAAAACTAGGTGAAACCCGTTGAAAGGTTTCAAGCAAAATCATTTAACCATCAATCAATGATAAATAACTCCATTTTAGGAACAATTTGGGTTGTTTGTCATTCAGCAGCGTGCTTCAGGTTGGCCCTACACCCGAACCTAATAATCAATGGCTCAAATGAAAGCTGGTATTTCACTGAACGTTCTCAAACCTTAACATATGGGATAATGCAATTGGAACTGGTGAAATAAATTTTTAATTAAAGTATGAAATAAAAAAATTGTGAAAAACGTGACTAGGCCTAACATGATAGCTGTACACACAAATTTTATGAATTTGAAGACTTATTTTTTCTGCAACTTACCAAGCATCCCTACAATGAGCTGGATATTGGCCCATGGCACCGATGCTGAGACACGGCCGGCAGCCTTTCCTTTTTGGCGTGCACTCTCCGATGTCACAAACATTCTAAAAGCCAGCTCGTTCAAATCTTGATTTGACATCTCGTTCAAATCTTGATTTGACATCTCGTTGAAATCTTGATTTGACATCTCGTTCAAATCTTGATTTGACATCTGTGAAAATAATATTTTCTCAACTTAAGTTAGTCTTAACTACCAGAGTCAACAATAAACATACATGAATCAAGAGATATGTTACAAATGAATTTTGTTTCTTAATTGCATGAAGGATGCGGAACCATTTTTACGGCATTTTCAAAGAACCAACATTGCCTCTTCCGCATCCTGACCCCATTGCAAGACATCAGGCGCGGCTCCAGGAATATTTTTTTGGGTAGGCCTGACAAGGATCAAGTAAGAGTTTGATCGGGGAGAGGTTTGAAGTGCATCACCACAAAAAGGGGAGAATTTAAAAATGTAAATGCAAAGAAATTAGTTTGCATGCTTTCCATTTATTTACATATAGCCTAATTCAATTCCTTTATTCATTTATAATTTTGAAATGTCTACCAACTGGCCTGCCCTCTGGCCCGCCCCTGGGGGTGTAGTTGACAATGAATTCCAATTAACCATGGAACAATACATGTAAGCTGAACGGCAATCAGGTGAAGATAGCCATATGATGCCGCAGCAAGCCTGGAGACTGAGTTTTCATCTAGCCAACCTTTCTGTTTTTTTTTTCACTAAAAATATTCTCTTAAAATAGTTAGATTTATACATATTAACTTACATTGACCTATATACACTCTTAATATTTAAGCTTCTATATAGGTACATGAATTTGCACGTATGGTGTTTTTGGCCTCTGGAGACTTGAAAGCGAAAAAGAAAATTGATCCTGGGTCTACGTATTACTATGTGCCTTAATGTAATAGCTTATTCTCTAACGGGATATGCGCTACTAATCTAATAACCACCTATTACCTCACCCTTCAAATCAGAGTACAAAAATATATTTGAAATTATTAGTAAATAAGTTAGTAGTCCTAGGCCCTACATCTGTTATTTTTAATCCCTTATTTGAAAACATAAAGGAATTCATATTAGTGTTACACAACTGACATTAACTTTAGTAATATAACGTACGTATGGCTTACCTTGACAGCTCTTTTATTTGTAACTATGAAGAGAGCGACGGGTGTCTCATCCATTCAGGTAAGTTATGCCACCGGTCACGATCACTACCCTTGTGCACGTGTTTAAGCTGATGTAAAATCTGGGGGATGCGGCGGGCCCGTACCGGTAGGCCTACTGCTTTTTCCCTAACCAAATTTTAATAACACTGACAACCCTACTGTTTCAACTTTTGTGATGAATTGCGAGTCATTCTATATGGTCGTGGAGGTGTTGAACAAACAACCAAGATAGTTAACAGTGATTTTTTATAAGCTATTAAAAGCTTGCTCCTATACCGATTATGAGATATGACCAGAAATCAGAAATATTTATTTGTCATTGTACATAAAAAAAATGCATTGACAATTTTGTCATGTGTACCTTGATACTGTCCTATGCATGAACATATTGTCCATCATCACGTGACCATAGCCTATAGGTATTACACTGTACTGGCCCAATTTTTTGCAATAGGGCCATCAATAACTTAGATTTTGGCGTGTGCGGTTTGTCATTTTCCCCCCTGATGTATGGCCCTTACTCGTTCCTCAAATAACTTATGACCTTTGATACTGTCCTAAGCTAGAACATGTCCTGTATCACGTGACCATATGGGTAGGCCTGATTACCACAGAAAACATACTACTATAACCCAGAATGCCAACCGCATGGTAAAAAGCATTAAGCGTTTTGAGAGAGCTTTGCCAGTCAATCCGTAGGCAGCGCCACCAGCGTTGCCATGCACTCCCTACGAATTGACAGGCAAAGCTCTCTCAAAACGATTAATGCTTTTTACCATGCGGTTGGCATTCTGGGTTATAACTTAGTACTTAGTAACTTATGTTTTCTGTGGTATTAAGTTACGCTGTGTGGGCTTATTTTCTCCAAATATAAGTTAGCCATAAATAGATTTTTACAAGCACACAACACTATTGGCAGATTAACACAAGTCTAAGCCTATTTACTAACCCTAGGCCTAATAAAAAAGGATGGCTTAACAAGCTATTGAAATAAAAGAGATTTAAATAAAAACACGAAATAACTTAACCCTCCGAGTGTCATGCGTCGCTGCAGCGACGCGTAACGCACTTTGTATAGTGTCGTGCGTCGCTGCAGCGACTCGCGAACACTGTTTACGGCGAAGGCTCTATGACTAACTGAATCGGACTGTACTGGATTGAGTTAGGTATCGTTCTGTCCGTAATATTCTAAGCTTTCTGCAGAGGTCTGTCTCTAAGCACTATTCATTTTAGTTCCGAAAATATTGTAGCAGACAGCTGACTGAGCTGACGTGCGTGTATTTGTAAACAGCTAGGTTACCCTCGGACCGATGACTGATGTGTTTTATTACGTTTATCATTGTTTTAGTGTTAAAAATCAAAAGTAGTGATATACGTGGTGCATTATAAGAAGATTTAAGTGGTTTTGAAGTGCTGGTTGATGATCCTGAAGAAGTAGGTAGTGATATTGATGTAAATTATCAGCCAGATTCCTAGCTATGGTTGGGCTATGCATTCTTAGCTAAACGCTAAGTTATGTACTGAAATCTGTTTTTTGCCCATAACTTTTTTATTTGCAAATCTACTTCCTTATATTATTATAGATTTGTAATCCTCATAAAATTTAGAACAAAGTGGCTATTTTCAAATATTTATAGGCCTATAATTTATACAATTTCATTGAGCGCAAACTTATTTTTTTTTGAAAATTTTCAAAATTATACATTTTTTTACCTAAAAAATTTTTTTTTTTTAAATCTTCCTTATGTTTTATATATAATATTGAAGCCCAAGATTTTCCAAACAAAATGGTATATAGAACAGTATAATTAACATTGTTTTTAAGCTTCTCAGATCAGTTTTAATAAAACCTTGCAAATGAGCAAAAAATAGGCTGACATTAAGGCCAAAACACGTGACACTCGGAGGGTTAATTGTAGGCCTACATGGCTAGTTTATAGCAACGTTAAGTTAATCTTTTCAAAATTTACTAGCCAATGGAAGCCTAAGACAGAAATGCAATCATTGCACCCATTAACTTATTTCTCTTTGCCTTCAGGCTACCTTACTAGATTGTTAGATTAACTTAGTTGGCATTTATTGGCGTACGCATCTAAGTTAGGCCTAGAAAATTCCAATCAACCTAGTGGGCCTCATCAAATTAGGCCTATTTAACTCCTTTGGATGGTTAATACAATGTGTTTACCTGCTACTGCTAATAAACTACTATTGTTGTTTGAGACTATGATTAGACTAACTCTAACTTAGGTTATAGGCCTAGGCCTAAATAAAGACAAATTAGGATAGTTACCATCCACAAATTATCAGGCTCCTTGGTGTTGTTGTACTTTTTTTGTTTAGGCCCATCAAGTAAATCAACCATTCTTTATCCTTAACGTGATTTGCTTATCATTATCCCAGGGAAGTCATGAAGATGAAATTAATAGATTATGGTAAGCTAGCAAAGCAGGGTGAGAAGAGCAAGAGAATGGTGAATGGTTTGGTTGGTAAGGTAGTGTAAGTGTATTGTTAGTGTAGTAGTGTAGTGTCCAGACTCCAGGTCCAGTGGTGATCCTCACTCAGTCAAGTCAGTCACTCCACTCTGGTTTGGGGTTTGGTTTCCGGTTGGTATTTACTCAGGGGAGGTATAGAAGAGGCTACGAAGACAGCTGAGGGCTTCTTATTAGCTGAGGGAACGCCATTACCGTAACAAAACGGTCGATAGCCATCGGCTTCGGTGGTCTAATGGATAGCGTATCGGGCTGATATACTGCAGGTCCCAGGTTCGAATCCCACCGGTAGCATTAACTTTTTGTTCAAATTTTTTGAGCGGAGCGAGCGAAGCGAGCGAAGCTCTTATACGTCGACTTTTATGCATTTCGTAATACGCAAACTCCTCCTAGACGGCTGAATCAATCGTTTTCAAATTTTGCATGGTGATAAAGACCATATCGGTGAGTGCCAACATCTATATAGCGTTAAAAAAGTCTCTCAGGAATCCGTAGAAAAATGAAACTGAAAATCACATTTTTTTAACATTAGTCTTATGGGTTGCTAGGTAACCATGTTGGCTGAATTAAATAACAAGTAAAAAGTAAACAAAAGATTTGAAGTTTTAGCATGTGCTCATAATAAGCCAACTACCCACAGTATACTAGGAAATTACAAATACAGTACAAAAGGAAAAACATCACTTGTTAATATTGAGCAAAGATTATACTTAAGATTACTCGATACATTGTAGTCAAGGGTAGCAGCACAGACAATATAATACTTTATTGTCTGTGGTAGCAGTGCGAAGTCTAGGATCTGTTTATGACGAATACATTAAGGTATCTGCAATCCTAAAATGCTATGGGAAGGGAAGGAAACAGGTCCGTGACGTAGGAAGTAGTGAAGGAAGTAGTATAGGCAATCATAAAATGCTATGGGAATAGAGGGAAACAGGTCCGTGACGTAGGAAGTGATGAAGGAAGTAGTAAATGCGAGCAGTCCAGGGTGTGGGGACTGTTTATGACGATAAGATTAGGGTATCTGCAATCCTAAAATGCTATGGGAAGGGAGGAAAACAGGTCCGCGACGTAGGAAGTGGTGAAGAAAGTAGTAAAGGCGAGTAGTCCGGAGTGCGGGAACTGTTTATGACGATTAGAATAAGGTATCTGCAATCTTTAAGTGCAATAGGAAGGGAGGGAAACAGGTCCGCGACGTAGGAAGTGGTGAAGGAAGTAGTCAAGGCGAGCTGTCAGGAGTGAGGGAACTGTTTATGGCGATTAGATAAGGGTATGGGCAATCCTAAAATGCTATGGGAAGGGAGGGAAACAGGTCCGTGACGTAAGAAGTGGTGAAGGAAGTAGTCAAGGCGAGCTGTCTGGAGCGTGGGAACTGTTTATGATGATTAGATTAAGGTATTTGCAATCCTAAAATGCTATGGAAAGGGAGGAAAATAGGTCCGCGACGTAGGAAGTGGTGAAGGAAGTAGTCTAGGCGAGTTGTCCGGAGTGTTGGAAATGTTTATGACAATTAGATTAAGGTATCAGCAAACCTAAAATGCTACGGGAAAGGAGGAAAACAGGTCCGCGACGTAGGAAGTGATGAAGGAAGTAGTCAAGGTGAGCTGTCCGGAGTGTGGGGACTGTTTATGACGATTAGATTAAGGTATTTGCAATTCTAAAATGCTATGGAAAGGGAGGAAAATAGGTCCGCGACGTAGGAAGTGGTGAAGGAAGTAGTCTAGGCGAGTTGTCCGGAGTGTTTGAAATGTTTATGACAATTAGATTATGGTATCAGCAAACCTAAAATGTTACGGGAAGGGAGGAAAACAGGTCCGCAACGTAGGAAGTGATGAAGGAAGTAGTCAAGGTGAGCTGTCCGGAGTGTGGGAACTGTTTATGACGATTAGATTAAGGTATTTGCAATCCTAATGCTATGGGAAGGGAGGAAAACAGGTCCGCGACGTAGGAAGTGGTGAAGGAAGTAGTCAAGGCGAGTAGTCCGGAGTGTGGGAACTGTTTATGACGATTAGATTAAGGTATCTGCAATCTTTAAATGCAATGGAATGGAGGGAAACAGATCCATGACGTAGGAAATTGTGTAGGATGTAGATGTGTGGATTTATGCATCTCCAATACTACGGTGCTTTCAGAGTGAACTAATGATTTTCCCCGAGCAAAGCTCGGTCCCCAGGTACTAAAATCAAATGACGACACTAGCTTGAGGTTCGTGACGTATGAAGAGGTTAAGGAAGTAGTAAAGGTGAACAGTCTGGAGTATGGAAACTGTTTATGACGATTAGATTAAGGTCACAACGTTCCTAAAATGCTACGGAAAGGGAGGGAAACAGGTCCGCGATGTGGGAAGTGGCGAAGGAAGTAGTAAAGGCGAGCTGTTCGGAGTGTGGGATCTGTTTATGACGATTAGATTCAGGTATCTGCAATCTTAAAATGCTATGGGAAGAGAGGGAAACAGATCCGCGACGTAGAAACAGGTGAAAGAAGTAGTAAGGTGAGCAGTGTGGAGTGTGGGAACTGGAAACCGTTTGTAGCAGTTTTAATGTATCTGCAATGCTGAAATGCTATGAGAAGGGATGGAGCATGCCCAAGACATAGGAAATTGTGAAAGAAGTAGTAAAGTCTAGCAGTACGGACAGTGGGGATGTTTGTTGCAATTAGATTAACGTATCTAAAATACTAAAATGCTATGGAAAGCGATGAATACAGGTCCACGACGTAAGTGGTGAAGGAAGTAGTAAAAGCTGGCAGTGCAGAGTGGGGGAACCGTTTGAGCAGATGGATAAATGAATTTGTAATACTTAAATGCTATGAGAAAGGAAGGAAACAGGCCAATGACGTAGTAAATGGTGAAGGAAGTAGTAAGGCTAACAGCGCAGAGTGTGGGAACTGTCTTTGGCAATTAAATTAATGTATCTGCAATCCTAAAATGCTATGGGAAGAGAGGGAAACAGGTCCACGACGTAGGGTGTGGTGAAGGAAGTAGTAAAGGTGAGCAGTGTTGAGTTTGGGAATGGATTAATGTATCTGCAATGCTAAAATGCTACGGGAAGAGACTGTAGACTGTAATATGTTAAAATGATTACGAAGCACAAATCGATACATATTTTCGATACATGCAATCGTTTACAATCGAAATTTACAACTGAGTTGACAACAGCTGATTTTTACTCCATAGAGGCTAAAAACGATTTTTACTCCCTAAATATTAAAAATGCTACTTTAGACCCGCAGCGCATGCATGAAAAAATACTGTTTTACTGCAGTAAGACAAAAACAATATAATATGAACCCTTGATGACTCCGCTCAATTTTGTGGATGCCTCTGCGAACGCCACCTAGTTTTATTTTCAGCAAGTTTGGTTGGTTTGGTTTGGTTATTACAGTTTGAGCAATTTCTAGTTTTATTTTATAAACAGAATTATTTTTCCGATTACTATAAACTTTTGTTATATTATTTCTTTATCAGCAAGTTTGGTTAGTTCGGTTAGGTTATAATAGTTAAATTGTATAATAAAAAATTAATAAAATTGAATTTTAGGCATTTAAATTGCAAAACTACATATTGAGAAGAATCTTTTGACACCTTAAACGTTGAAATTGGTCCACAAATAAGGGAGGAGTTGCGTTAACAAAATACGGCTTCACGTATTATATATATAGATTTTATGAACAGAACTATTTTTGCGATTAGTAAACCTTCATTGCCAAAGTGCTCTCTACTACAGCGCTGTTCACGGAGGAATTTTGAACTAAATGCCTCATTTGTACCTCCCCTAAGTCAGACCCTTTCCGGTTGAGGTTGAGGTTATCTGATGAGTGATGGTGGGAGGCGGAGGCGGAGGGTGTAATTTTGAATTTGGTGTTCCTTTCCTTCCAGTTCTGTTCAGCCAAGGCCCCACTAAGTTCAGCCATAGACTAACAGCTCAGTCAGCCAGATTATTTTTTTATTTTTGTTTTTACTACGAAGTGACTAGGCCTATTCGCACGTCAAAATGACGTCAAAACCCGTTCCCGTTGCAATTGCAGTATTACTTACAAAATAATGCAAAGGGAACAGTTACTTTTCCCCACAATTCTATTTGCTCTCGAACACCATTGTCCATTACCGCAACCATAGATAAATCATAGTCCCTTTAGTAGATTTCCCATCCTTTAAGCCGGGTTTTCCTAGGTGCGGAAGTGGAAAGCGGAGAGAGGAACGCGGAGAGCGGACTCCACTTGTCTCTTAGGCTAGGCAATTTAATGTTACACTGTTTTCCTAGAAGCTAGAAGCGGAGCGGAACGCCATGTAAATTTCTTTACCACTCTCCGCCCTCCGCGTTCCTCTCTCCGCTTCCGTGCCTAGGAAAGCCCAGCTTTATGGAACAGCTGAAGCCAATTTTATTGTTAGTTCTGTCCGGTTTTCTGTAGATGTCGTGTTTTGTTTACAATTGGTTTTTATTATTTGAGGGTTATTTTCTCATTATTTGTGTCTCACTGTTTGGTTATACAGTACTTACTTACTTACTTACTTCTTACTTCTTACTTCTGAAGTCTTCTCCGCAATCGGGTGATTGGGGAATCGTCAAGATTCATCTGTTTGGTTCTCGAAGTGAGTCCCGTTATCTAAGGTGTTGAAAAGTGTGTTCCTCGATATACTCTGCTGTGGTGTAGTAGGGCCTATTGATTAAATATTGTTTAAGCTTGTAAATAAATGTGTTGTGTTTGTCAATGGCTTTTATAGAGTTCGGCAGTAAATTATAGAAATATGAACCAGTGTACAGTGGGGAGTTGCTGAATTTTGTGAGTGTGTGTTGTGGTAGATCAATGTTTGCCCTATTTCGTGTGTTGTAGTTGTGTTTATCTTGTCTGAGACTGGGCGAGGAATTTATGGCCAGGATGATGGTTTCCAGAATATGAAGTGAAATAACGGTGAGGATTTTATTTTGGACAAAGAAGGGTTTGCAGTGTTCCTGATAATCCAGCCGCAGTATAGTTCTGATGGTTTCCTTTTGAAGGATAAGGACTTTGTCAATCTTGTTAATAGCTGCTAGTATAGCTAGTGGACGAGTTATTGTTTGTGATTAGATAGTTTTATTTGGCTAAACGAGGTTTTAAATTACTGAAATGGAGCTGGAGTTTGGTATTTAGGCAGGAATTAATTTTTTTTTGCTCAATAATTCATTGATAGTATTACTGCACAGGTGGGCTTTTTATTTGAAAATAAAAGATGGTTGAAGCACAAAGGCAGCCGTGGAGTGGACGTGCGCGGCAGCAGCGCACGCTTGACTTGCGAATAGCCTCTGGCTATTGATAGTCAAAGGTCTGACCATGAAGAGTATGTTTTATCTGGTTTTACCATAGACTAAGCTAAGCAACACAAGGGAGTATGTTTTATCTATGGTTTTACCATGTTTTACCTACGGCCTGACTCTGCTCTTAAGTCAAAGTCTGACTAAACAACCGAACGGGCCCATGGTGGAAGGTGTGCCCATGGGGGTTAGTTTAGGTGTGCTATTCCCACATATTCTGACGTCACTCGGATTGCAAACAAAAGATAATCTGATTGTAACTGTCAAATTACACACTACAATCCACAAGTTATCAAATAAAAACAAATACATACTAATTTGACAGTTACAACAGGTGATAATTTGTTTGCAATCCGAGTGACGTCAGAATTTGTGGGAATAGCACACCTATGTTTTTTCCTTCCACCATGGAACGGGCCCGGGCCCGAACTAGGAGGATTAAACATTAAGGAGAGGGCACGCGAATAGGAATACACATGTTGCGGTGAAGCCAGCTCTAGCAGAACACTAGAGGGGCACGCGGAGCCGTAGAGTGGCAAAAAGCCGCGGGTATAACATGGGAGAGATAGGGAAAAACGCGACGCGCGCTGTTTCGAATTAAAATTGTCGCTAAACTAAAACACCTGTGTTATTCACCGATGGCATTCTTAAAGTAAATTAAATTTCCTATCGAACGGTGTCAATCATTTCTATAAAAACTATTGTTTATTATTTATTACTGAAGATCAAAGTTGAAAGAATTGGCCTGGACTTTGAACATATCATTACTTTAATGACGTTTTTGAAAAAAATATGATGTATCTATACAAATTAACAATTTATTCGTATTCCTTAATAGTTTCGTGAAATAAAAAATATATATTTACCTATATTTAAGAGTGGTATTTAGAAAAATAATTACAATAAATCTTTTTTAAGTTTTCCAGTTTATAAAACAATCTTACTAATTATAGGTTAAAATGAAAAATTTAATTCGGGTGGTGAAATACATTTTAAATTTGCATTTTTCATAGTTCTCTCGATTTGTTAATACCATGTTTTACTAGTTTTAAGCGATTCATGTGCTAGACAGGTGATTTTAAATAGCTAAAGTTAAGAAAAAATGTAAAGCCGCTCTAACTTTTTTTACACCAACAGCCGTTTACAATTAAATTACAAACATAAAAAGTAAAACAAATTCTTGGCAATCAAATTCTAGATTTTTTAATATCATATTGAGCTATATTTGATCTGTTTGCCCAAAGAAACTTCAAGTAAAAAGTGTAAAATGTTCAACAATCATCGCGTCTTCTGACGCCAAAGTGCGTTTATCATTCTTTTAAAGGATTAAAACTTATTTTATATTCTAATATTATGGTTAGAATTTCAGTTTTTAATTTTCGTAGCATGATGTAGTCTAAGTTTTAAATAGTTAATTGATATTTCTGTTACCAAATCTCCCACTCCCAGTAACCCATACAACGCAGTATGAGAGGGGGGCGGGAGAGTAGCGCTGCCTCTCCCCCTCACCAGTACGCTGGCTTCAACGAAACTACAGCGTGTCCTCTCCTTAATGTTTAATCCTCCTAGGGCCCGAACAACCAACGAACACTGAGAACACTGACTACACTGAACACTGAACTGAACTGAAACTGACTGTTTGATTGAACTAAAAACAAAAACTAAAAAGAACTAAAGTAAGAACAAGAAGAAGAAAAACCAAAAGTCAAGTCGAAGAGGAGGTGTGGTCGTTGTGTTGTGTACTGTTTTGTTTTGATTTGTTTTTGATTGCTATTAAACCAATTAAGCATTCAGTATGAAACTTATTTGTGTGTGCAGTGTACTTCTAGCCATAGCTAATATAGGTAAGAGATCTTTTAAAACGCTGGATTAAAAATGTGTGAACTTTCAACACAGCCCTACCAGACCTTTAACTTCAGTGCATCATTGTAGGCCTACACATGGAATAGGCCTAGATGTATTTTAAAACTCATTAGCCTTGGTAACTAATACAATAGGTTACACATCTAAAATATCTACACAATTTACGTTAAATTAATAAACATCACATTTTGCCATTAACTAACTTAAGGCAGTTAATGGCTGCACTTTACTTTAGGTCATAGGCCTACACTCATTCAAACGAAAATATTGATCGATATATCTATTAATCGATTGTTTCATTTGATATATCGTTTGGTTAGTTAGGTAAGGTTAACCTAACCTATCGAACAATTGATATTTTCATTTGAATGAGTGTAGGACCTAAAGTAAAGTGCAGCCCAGTTAATTAAACATTTTTAGGCCTAATTGACTCTCTAGGCTATAGGGTGAACCATAATGTTTAGGCCTACTTACCTTATGGGTAATTATTGTGATTATGGTGGGGTAAGTATACAGCAAATAATTGATAAGTAGGGCCTATATCTACAATGCGATATCATGTAATTTTTAGATCAAAGTCAAAGTCAAAGTCTTTATTGCCATTAAATACAACAAGTACAATAGGCTCGTCATTTAAATAAACAAAACATGCAAAATCAAATCCATCAAGAAACAATTCAAATAAATAAGCTCTAGTCAAAAAACAAAACAAGAAAACATGCACAAACCATGCAGGTGTACCTGAAAATGACTCAAATGGTTACCACCAGATTGCTTTTGTCACAGTTAAAAAATTTGGATATGTGGTAAAAAGGATTTAGAGTGAGCCAATTTTTTACAACAGTGGAGAATTTTTTTGTGTGTAAATTTCTTGTACATTGGGGCAATTTGTTGAAAAGTTTAATACCTACCTGAAACAGGAAAAGAACACAATGATTTTTGAAGCCTATTTCTAGGTACAAAGATATCAAACTTATTTCTAGTATCATAACTATGTACATCGCTATTTACATGAAGAGAGTCTTGTCTGGCTTTTATTGCCACCAGACACTGAAAAATGTACTCATTTACAATTGTCAAAATTTCATTTTCAACAAACAAAGGTCTGCAATGGTCAAGGTACCCAGCATTTGAAATTACTCTAACAGCTCTCTTTTGAATTAAAAGAATTCTCTGAGTACCAGTGGCATGGCCCCACAGCCTGGTTCCATAGGCTAAAATAGACTGAAAGAAAGCATGGTAGGCCTGCCTAACTGTTGGCCTTGGAAGCTCAGACATTAGCTTTATAAGCAGGAACAACACTCTGCTAAGTCTCTTACACAGGACATCTATGTGACCTTCCCAAGACAGCTTGGGATCCAGTACAAAACCTAACAGTTTTACAGACAAACTTTCAGGTACATTAGGCAAAAGGCTGAAAGTTATTTCCTGGGTTTTCAAATCATTAAGAGCTAATTTGTTTAAAATGAACCATTGCTGAGCCAAGGCCAAAGAGTCATGCACTGCTGACTGAGCCAGGAACCAGTTTTTATCAGACGAAAATAAAGTTGTGTCGTCTGCAAATAGAATAATGTGACTGGTCTACTTACAGCATTTTTCACGCTGATACCATAAATGCAATCAGTTTTTGTCGGAGATATTCATAAGTGGCTGTAAAACGAAGGTTAAAGTTACGAATCTAGATATGTTCATTGAGCTATACTGATGGTAATATGGCGTGGTCTGGTATGTGGACTGTGGACTGAGTGAGGAGGAGAGCAAACAGCTGTTTATACTTGACTTAATGCGGAATGAAATCAATTAGTTTTGAAACCAAGTAATCAGTTCTTATTTAACTTATGTAGGCATGTGAGGAAGGTAGGTCGGGTTTTATGCACATTTTTGATTATCTTTATTTCATTATGTTTCACCCACTATTTAATTGTGCAAAAACAGTCTGGAAGTAGCATAAATTAATGAGTTGGTTCATTATAACCTAACCTTTACCTTCCTAATCTAACCTCACTTCAAAACACTTAATACAGTCACAAATCCGCATAAAGTCCGACCCTATCTTCCTCACATGCCTTTTCTGACATAAAATGTGATTTAAAAGTTAATATTAAGGTTGGGTTGGGTTAGGTTAAGTTAGATTAGATTATCTAACATCATTTATTAGTTGCTGATAAATGAAATCATGCACTGTGGCATGTTTTCACTTTTAGGCACAATGGGAAAATACTATGGGATTATGCACTATGGCACGTTCATTAACAGATGTTGAGGATTGGAATGAGCACGATCATGTTGGCAGTGGCCTAGCTTCTATTACTGATATTTTACGTGAATAAATTCTATTTTTTGTATAATTTATGTTGATGTGATTAATAGTTTATGTAGCGTAGTTGATTTATTGTATTTTCTAAACAGCACCAAAGTTAATTTTCTTTTAAAAATCTAGTTATTGGATACCTTAAAAATTGTAACTCTGATTTTGCTCTCATGGGGTCGTGTGTGGTTTTTTCTGTAACTGACAGATGTTTCCACTCCACAAATCTTCCACACCTTTCAGTGTTAGTCGCCTGGACTTGTCCAAACCGAATAAGGTTAACCTTATTGGTTATTTGTGCCAACAGATATGGAAGTGTAGGCCTACCCTTTTGGTGACCAAGAGTACTAGGCCCTATATAGTAATTTATATATCATTAGAAATTAGATTTATACCTGAAAACAATGGTGCAAAAATTGTTCTGCTGTCACAAAAACTGAATAAACTACGATCGTTTGAATTTTATTTGAATGTTGTATTGGGAACATTGAATCTGAACCTTAAATGCATAAACTAAAAATTGACACTATTCTAATTTAACATAACCCAACCAAACTTCTCGAACAGCTTAAAATTAGTATTAAGTTAAGTTGAAAAAGAAATGTGAGGTAGGGCCCTAGGTAGGTTGGTTGTTATGCAGATTCGTGATCGTATTAAGTCCTTTGAAGTTAAGCTAGATTAAGAAGGTAAAGTTTAACTTAGGTTATAATGAATTGGGTTGTTGATTTATGTTATCTCCACTGTTTTTGCCCTTTTTACAAAGTGCTAAAACAGTACTATTGTATTACAGTTTAAAAATATTGAATTTCTATGAATGTCAGTAATATATAGACAAATGTCAAAACTTAAGTTATAAAAAAAATATTTAACTTCAAAACACTAAGTAGAAACAAATATAATATATACACCTATTTACACATCATTCTTCTTTGGTCAAGTTAAGTTACTGCATTTAACTTACCATATGCACTTACCCCACCTGAACAAAATTGGGATAAGTGCATTCTGCACTTAAGTTTTTTTTAACTGTAAAATTCAGTGTTTTACACATGTTAGCCTATACTTTAAGTGCAGCAAAAATGATACATAGAATTAATATGCACGATGAAAATCTTGATAGTTTTTTTTTATAGAAAATTAATAATTATCAAAAAACCATTACGAGCTCAACTTCAGACCAAAAACGTATTGTATATAGTAGGCCTAATATAGTGAAAAATCTATAAAATATTTTGTTTACACTTCATATCTAATAATGTACTACAACTAGAAGATATAAACATTAAGTATGTGGTGACGATTTCATTTCATTATTACGTAAGTTACAAACAGACAACGCACTTACCCCAAAAACGCACATGTTCCACCTCACCTAACATAATTTTTTACATCTTAGGCCCGCCGCACATTGGAGCGAGGCAAGGTGCAGGCGAGGCGCAGCTGATTCTGTAATACACGTGTTTAAATGGAGCACCGCATATTGAGCAGAGGCTGCGCGCAGCCTCTGTCAGGCCTCCGCGGCGTTGTAGTTGGAATACAGTTTTCCTGCACCTCGCTCGCGCCTGCGTTGGGTTTCAAGTGTTTTGTGAGTGAAAGATATAGAAATGGAGCATTTAATTCAGATGGCTAAATTAATTCCTTTCCACTAATGCCACTTTTAATCAAGTTATGGATATCATTAAACTGTTGTTTGTTCACACGAAAATATTCTTTAAAAGACCGGTCTGACAGTTCAGCAGTTAAAACATACTCTCCATGGCTTAATCTTGTTTCGTGTAATCACAGGACCAAAGCTAGGAAACCTCTGTCCCGCCTCGCTTCAATGTGCGGTGACACAAAAAAGTCCTTGCTCCCGCCTGCAACTAGCCTGCTCCTCGCCTCGCTCCAATGTGCGGCTTTAGTTTCTTTTTCTACCCTAGAGGATCCTTTCAATCGTTCATGTTTGTGTTAGTCAATTCACAGTAATTGTAACAGAAACCAGCAGACAAGAGGCATTACAGTAATAAAATTCAAACAATCGTAGTTTATTCAGTTTTTGTGGCAGAAAAACCTTTGCACCACTGTTTTCAGGCATCTCTAGTAAATCTAGTGTTTCTAATGATATATAAATTAGACTACTTTGGTTTTCTTGGTCACTATAATCGCAATAATTTTCAACTTGTGTTACATTCACTGGGTAAATTTTAGTGTAAATTGTTGCTAATTTATAGCTTGCCTTACAAATTTTATGGTTAGGCTATCTAGATCTTAAATTGAATTTACCCCCTTTAGTGAGTTATCAAGCTAAAAGTTGAACCTTGAAATCTGATCGTATATAGGTAGCGTGCTATGATGTGAAGAATTTCCACTTGGATAATTAAATTTAAGTAAATTACAATACATTGTGCTGCCCAGCCATGGTCTCTGTGAAGGTGTTCTGCTGCCGAAACTCTAAGGAGAATACGGAACCATTTTTAGTTCAATGTAGGCCTAGCGTTGTACGCTTGCAGTGGCAGGAGTGGATCATTTCTGTAGTAAAACATAACTTCTTCAGAACACCTGCTCATTTTATAACACAAATGCTCACAAAAGTTTCATTTGACACAAGTTGGTGGTGGAATGATGGAGATTGCTTCAGGGTAAGCTACCACTAAACTTATTGCAGTAAGTTACACTCCCTATGTATGATAAGCTCAAGAAAGCTCTTAAACTTAGGCCTACTTAGTGTGTTTTTAAAAGAAAATAAAAAAAAAATACCTTGGGAATGACCTTTTAGACAAGATCTTTGTTAGCATTTTGATGTTGGAGAATTAACATTACTTCTGTTGCTTTAAGATTATTGAATAAGTTAGATCATCCATTAAGAGTTTAAGATTAAATCTTAAATATTAACTTGCTTCTGTTTTTTTTAGGTTACTCTATGGAATGTTATGTGTGTGAAAACCAAGATGATAACACGGGAAAGTGCCTAAAAACAATAAAAACATGTAATCCAGATGAAGATATGTGTCTCTCTGAAATCAAGTGGGGAAGTAAGTAGGCCTACCTAACAAACACCTGATGAATAGGCTACGGTAGTTAAAAAAAATAATTGATTGATTTAAGTTATGGGTAGTAGGCCTTAAGTTAAAGTATAGGATTCAGCTACAGTGGAGTCCCGATAATCCGAACTTCAGTAGGCCTAATCCAAAAGTCCGCTTAATCCGAAACCAAAAAATATATATTTTTTTCATAAAAAAACTTTGATTTTAAATTTTTTTGAAATTTTTTGAAATTTTTTTTTTTGAATTTTGTTTATTAAACTTTTAACACAGTTAGCTGTACCTCGTCAAAGTATTCTGTAGCGGCCGGGCGAGATAGACTTTTTTGTTGAGTATTTATAGTAAATATTTCACCATTTTTGTTATTAACATTTTTCATTTTCGTCCGCCAAATCACAAATGGATTTTATTAAGTGATAATAATGTAGCCAATAGGTCAAGCCTTAAGTAATGTGAAAAACAATCCCGGGCTCGTGCCTGTGTCCTAAGACAAAAAAAATTTCAAAAAATTAAAAAAATAATTTTTTTTTCAAAATTTTCCAAAAAAGAAACGTTTAATCCGAAATATTCGGTAATCCGAAATGGGCCCGGTCCCAACCATTTCGGACTAACGGGACTCTACTGTACAATGTTACTAATCTGGTTTTAGAAACTTCTAAACTGTTTATTTTAAATTAAGTTAGTGTAGAAGTTTTCTCACGTACCTATATTCTAAGGTAAGGTAGCAATTCTACAAATAACAATTTGTTTATACCTATGTAAACCTTGTTGATAGAGTTGCAAGACTGGTAGACCTATAAATACAACTCTAACTCAAGTAGCCTATTGAAGTAGTCAAGCAAATCCACAAAAAAACTTTACGTAGCCTATAGGAATTTATTCTTTAAATAAATGTAAGTTAATCATGAGATGTACCAATTTAATAACATTCTTCTTTCATTAGGTCTATAACTTAGTGTGTAAATGTGGGCAGGGGAACCAATTAATTATTTTCTTCAAAGAAAGTACGAAAAACAGTTTTCAGGTTTCTCAGTCGTGGAGGATATTTACAATTTTCAGATTCTATAGTAATTTAAAAACTAAACTGCCAATATACATTAATTGAAGATAGAAATGTTTTCTGGGCTTTCTACCTTTATTATGTTGAATAACAAATTAAAGCATATGTTATCTATAACTCATTCTCCGGATGATACCTTGTCGTCATTTGAGATGTAAACATATTCAAGTTTAGGTTGTGAAATGGATAGATTTGTTGTGTAGTCTATATGGCAAATTTATGCATTTAACTCTCGCAAAACTTAAAATATTAGCCCTAAATAACCTAGTAAATGTAATGTAAATTTAATAAACTAAGAAAGAACCTTTAACTAATGATTCTAAAACTCCTTTTCTTTGAAAAAGTTTAAAAATTGTAATTTTTTCTAATACCAGCTCAGCCTTACTGGTCGCCGGGTGCAAAAAAGCAGTATTACATCTCGAAGCGGTGTGCTACCAAGAAGCAGTGTGAGCGCACTCGCAAGGCGTACATGGGCACTTGCACTCACATTTGGTATCAGGACTGGAAGTGCGCCGAGTGCTGCGCCGGAGATCGTTGCAACTACTACGTCATTGTGAGTTACTTTTTAACACCTCTGGGATAAATTTGTATAGGCCTAGTTGATTTTTATGGATTGTGTGATATGTGGTAATTGTAATGGTATTGACAGGGTGGTCATGTTTTGTGTAATCCTGCAGTTTTACGTTTTGTAATGACTGTTCAATCGCTAGTTACATAATTTGTATATGAAAGCCTTTTGCAGCACCATTCAACCTTGAGGAAATGAGGATTTTGGAGAATTTATAAAAAAAAATTAAAAGTTAGAACTTAACCCTCTCTTTGTCGCAAAACAGTTCCTTTAAATGTTACACCAATTTCAGCAATTTTGCAGGGTTCATTTACTGACATCTTTTTAGAATTATTATTGGGAACAAATATAAACTATTGTATCATTTTGTTCACCAAATTCAGGAGAACATATGGCACTAACCTGGTACTAAAAATAGTCAGCATTGAAATCCAAAGTTTTTTATAAATAATTTTCATTTATTGAAGTTTTCTTTGTCACCACTTCAACCCACTTCACCGAGAAAAGGTTTCAATATAGCCAAACTGTAGGAAATAAAGTATAGTTTTCAAAAACACACAATGTTTATGGACTAACCCTAAAAATATTTACACTATGTACAAAACCCTTACATTAAAGACATCAAACAGGCACCAAACACAACTAACCTTACAAACCTACATCGCCGGTCTGACAGCTGAATACATCACATATCCTAAATAGAATAGTCTAGAATACACTGCTACCTAAAAAGTAAAAACATTCGTCGCCAAACATACAAAGTGGTACTATAAGAAAGCTTATGATTTCTACTTTAAAATAGCGAAAAAAATCATACTGAAATTATTAAAATTATGCAAACGGTGAGCATTCAAGTGAACACTTGCTAAATGCGTCGAAATTCCGACTTTGACAGTTCACAAATGGCGTAAATGTCTAAGTTTCATGACAAATAGTTTTGTAGAGTAAAGTCTGAATTATTTGACACGTCGGTATGTCTATTTGACATTCGGTTATGCCCAATCATGGTCACTGGAGGTTAAAAAGATTTCCTACACATAATCCTTTAAATCGCAAAGTTTTACCAGATAAACTTTCTAGTGGCGGCAAATATTCAGTGTTGAATAATAATTCGAAGTCAGGTTGAATATTTCCTGACTCGTCCAATTTGAGTAGCCTAGGTTAGTCGGTTAGGAGCAAATATATGTTTTATCTAAATTTCTGTCTTATCCAATCCTCCATAGGAAAGGGACGATCGATTGCAGTGAAATAACATGCCACGTAATCATAATTATATTTTATACCTCATTTAGTCAAAATATTTAAAGTTCTGAGCCCTGCAAACTGTTTCCCATGGATTGTAAATTAATCATTAAAAATCTTTGGTCAGCTATACCATAGACAAACCAACACAAGTAGATTTCTCATCCCATTGTAAATTTTGGAGCTCTTTTTTATGTCTAGTTCATGTCCAATGACACTGATCACTAGTATCAACGAAATTTTGTTTCTATTATTTGAGGGTTAATTTCATGATTAGTGCTTTAGTGTTTGGTTACATAACTAGGGGACAAGTTATTGTTTATGATTATATTAGTTTTATTTGGTTAAATAAAGTTTTTAATGACAGGAATAACAAGAAACAAATTGTAAATAAAACACAACCTCTACATTGTACTGGACAGAACTAACATTAAAATTGGCTTCAGCTATTCCATAAGGATGAGAAATCTTCTAGGGAGTATGTTTTACCTATGGTTGTACAGTGGAGTCCCGACAATCCAACTTCGGCAATCCAAAAGTCTGCTTAAACCAAAACAAAAAAATTTTATTTATTTTTTTTATATTTTTTTTTTTAACTTTTAACACGGTTAGCTGTAGGTCTACCTGGTCAAAGTATTCTGTAGCGGCCAGGCAAGATAGAATTGTTTTATAGAGTATTTTTAGTAAATATTTTTTGCCTTTTTTTCAATTAACATTTTTTCATTTTCGTCCCGGGTTCCAATCCCGCCAAATCGCAAATTGATTTTATTTAAGTTATAATGCTGCAGCCCCTAAGTCTAGCCTAAAGTAATGCGAAAAACAATCCCAGGCTCGTGCTTAGCGGTCCGAAGACAAAAAAAAAAAATATTTTTAAACATTTTCAAAAAAAAAAGGACATTTAATCCGAAATGGGTCCGGTCCCAACCATTTCGGACTAATGGGACTCTACTGTACCTATATTTTACCTTCTTTGATTTTATGAAATGGGCAGAATCACAGGCAGATACATCCGATCATCTAAGTTGCTGTGCCTAAGCCCTGGCCACCAGTGGCGGTTCTAGGACCTTGTTAAGCAGGGCTCCTGGGGCTGTCCCACAACCCCCCAAAAAGAGGGTTTAGGAATCCTCCCCTGGAATATATACACACAGGGTGGCTGAAAAGTAACTTGCACCTCCCCCCTCTAACTTTTTAACCATTTGAGATATTTGAAATCGGTTTGCGGCAACCTTCTTAGATATGAGGGGCTACAATAGTTATTGTAAATTTTGAAAACTTTGCCCTTAGGGGTAGCGGGTGTAGGGGGTAGCTCAAAATTTTCTAATGACAAGTATAGTCGAGTTTGGTATCATTTTACAGGTCTTGACAAAACAAAACAATTGAAATAAAGAAAACAAAAATCGGCCAGCTAATAACAAAATGGCGCCCTAAAACGTATCAAATCCAAATAACCACAAGGGTGGCTGAAAATTAACTTGCACCCCCCTTTATCCCTTTATCTTTAACTACCGGTAATTGAGATATTTGAAATCGCTTTGCGGCAACCTGTTTAGATATGACTGGCTACAATAATGATGGTTAGTTTCAAAAGTTTTGCCCTTAGAGGTAGTGGGGTTTGGGGGTAGCTTAAAATTTTCTAACAGGTAGTATGGTCGAGTTTGGTATCATTTTACAGGTCTTGATATAACTAATCAATTAACATAAATAAAATTGAAATCGAACCACTAAAAACAAAATGGCAGGTAAAAATTACTTTTGCTACCCCCAACCCTTACCACCCCTAAGGGCAAAATTTTTAAAATTTACCATCATTATTGTAGCCCTTTATATCGAAACAGGTTTCCAAACCAATATCTCAAATAGTTAAAAAGGTAAAGGGGGGAGCAAATTAATTTTCAGCCACCATCATGGTTATTTGGATTTGATAAGTTTTAGGGCGCCATTTTGTTATTAGTGGGCCGATTTTCTTTTTCTTTATGTAAATTTTTTTGTTTCGTCAAGACCTGTAAAATGATAGCAAACTCGACTATACTTGTCATTTGAAAATTTTGTGCTACCCCTTACCCCCGCTGCGCCTAAGGGCAAAGTTTTCTAAACTGACCATAATTATTGTAGCCGCTTTATAAGAAGGTTGCCGCAAACCGATTTCGAATATCTCAAATGGTTGAAAAGTTAAGGGGGAGTGCAAGCTACTTTTTAGCCACCCTGTATACTCTTCTAGAACAGTATCCAAAAACCTCCAATAAGTTGTTAGGACAAAATGTATGTTTAAATTTATTCTTCCAGAGCCCCCGCTTGGGCCACTGCTGGCAACTGGAATAGCTAAGAAGTCCTGAACGTAAATTTCAGATTGCCAAGTTTATAAATAAATGTCCTACTGTAGGTACTAAAACTTTACCTAAATGTTGATATTTGTTCTAATCAAGATAAAGTGTAAAAGAAAAAAGAAAATTTGGACAAATCTGTGTGTTGGCTGTTGTAGACGGGTAGCAGCGCTGTGAAATCCAGTCTTCTTGTCACCGCAGCCTCTGTTGTTGTTGTTTTATTCTTCTCTTTTCTACACAAGCTGTGAAACACTGCCTTCTAGATATTGTGTCCTTCCGTCCATCAACACGATCAATATCATGACTAATTGCATCGATATGATCAATATCATGACTAATTGCATCGATATGATCAATATGATTCTCATAGGTGTTAAACGTTCATTGTATTTTTTATTTTTACAATAATTAATGTCCGTCCACTTTGTTGTAAGATACTATTTATTTGTGGGATTTTTTTACATATTTTAAAATGATTTTATAATTATTGTATTTTAATGTTGTTGACAACATAATAGCGAACATTAGATCATTTAGTTTATAAAACGTTATAACATATATTACGCCTCATTGTTAATGCTATTTGTTACCATTTTATGATCTTTTCCTTTTTAAGAAAATCAATGAATCTATATTATTATACTGACAGGAGAAGTGTTTACGTATATTTTTAAACATGTTCACATTAAGATATATTTCAAATGAGAATTATTGAAATACAGTAATTTAAAGATTAGGATTTTAAATGGTATTATTTCTTTCAACACTTTAAAAGTGTGTACAAACATAATATATTTTAGTGCCTTCCTTGTAATTCTTATTTTATATATTTGTATATATGTGTATGATGAAATGAAGTTATATTATTTTATATTGATTATCAGTAGCCTAACGTGGACTGGTTAGTAGTCACTATGTCCTGAACAAATTATTTTTTTAGGATCTATTTTATTTATTTGCAAAATGAATAACTTTCTTCTGTTAAGAACATATTAATCTGCTCCATAAAACTACAGTATTAGAGAAAGTAATATTCTTAGCTTTTTTGTTGTAATTTTATTAGTGTATTTTAATTTTTTACGTGTAGCCTATATATAGCTGTCTTCTAATTGAATGTATTTTTTATATTTGTTTTCTCAACAACTGTTTTTAGTAAAAAGGTCTTATAATATTGCGCACAAAATAATGAAAACGTTTAGAAAAATTTCCACAAATGTGCTTTTGAACACATAACACACTATAAACTGAGCAACTTGAGCACAAAAAGTTAAATAGTTTGCACAAATTAATTTAAACAGCTCTTTGGATTTAAAAAAATCCCCTATTAGTTAATAAAACAAGTTTTAGATGTTGAAATAATTACAAAATATGAATAAATCACTAATGTAGTAATTAATGTTTATGAAAATTTTGTTAAAACAAAGATATAATTGATTGAACTAATACAATTTGTTATATTATATTGTAGGTTTTTTTAAATATTATATTTTCAAAATTTTCAATTTTATTTGCTTGTGAATTATGTATGTAGTGTTTAAATAAGCCGAACATTTTATTTGTGACATTTATCATTCCACATATTTTTCCTAGTAAGTGCACTTACTTGTGTTTTAAGTGTGTATTTTAAGCAGTGTAAGTGTGATGTATATTGTATCAAAGATTGTACAAAACAAATCATTGTGTATCTGTACTAAATATCCAGAGCTTGTCTTAGTTTTTATATATTTACATAATTAATTGAATACAAATTTTAATTTTTGTACAAAGAGATATTTATTTATTTAACCACTTCTTAGCAAATCTATAGCGGTAAAGGTCGTATAACCCTCCGAGTGTCCATAGTTTAGGCCTTAATGTCCACCTATTTTTGGCGCATTTGCAAGGTTTTATTAAAACGGATCTGAAAAGCTTAAAACAAAACGATGTTAATTCTACTGTTCTATATACCATTTCGTTTGGAAAATCCATGGGCTTCAATATCATACATAAAACCTAAGGAATATTTGTTTCAAAAAAAATTTTTTAGGTAAAAATAAAAATTATTTTGGAAAAATTGGAAAAAAAAAATAAGTTCGCGCTCAATGAAATTGTATAAATTATAGGCCTATAAATATTTGAAAATAGCCACTTTGTTCTAAATTTTATGAGGATTACAAATATATAATAATATAAGGAAGTAGATTTGCAAATAAATAAGTTATGGGCAAAAAACAGATTTCAGTACATAGCGTTTAGCTAAGAATGCATAGCCTAACCATAGCTAGGAATCTGGCTGATAATTTACATCAATATCACTACCTACTTCTTCAGGATCATCAACCAGCCCTTCAAAATCACTTAAATCTTCTTATAATGCAACACGTATATCACTACTTTTGATTTTTAACACTAAAACAATGATAAACATAATAAAACACATCAGTCATCGGTCCGAGGTTAACTAACCTGTTTACAAATACGCACGTCAGCTGTCTGCTACAATTACGATCTGCTCGGAGAACATAAAGCGCTTAGAGACAGACCTCTGGAGAAAGCTTAGAATATAATGAAAAGAACGATACCAAACTCGATCCAGTTCAATCCGATTTTGTCAGTCATAGAGCCTTCGCCGTAAACAGTGTTCGTGAGTTGCTGCAGCGGCGCATGACACTCGGAGGGATAAATTATCATGGTGTGTAGGAATTGTATTGCGAGGGAGACTAAAACTTCCCCCACCACTTTCCCTCTACTGATGTGTGTAGTCTGTTAGATAAGGTCTAACGGAAATTTTTTATGATTGTAAAATAAGTTATAACAAAAGCGATTGGTTGGGGTAGCGAGCTCGTCTAGTAGTTAGAGCGTATGACTTCAGTCCCTGAGGTCCCGCGTTAGCAAGTTAAGCTGTGAGAATGAGATACCTCTTTTGTAGGCATATGATTATCATCATTACCATTTGGAGGGTAAGGGAAAATGAAACAAAATTTTCGTATAAAATAATATTAACTATTTACAGATCCTAACAATATCAACATAACTTACATAATCATAACCAAGAGTACTGTACAGTGTGCATTTGTGTAAAAAGTTCTGTTATTGAATTGGCCATATTTTTTCATTATAATTTGTTATCGTATACATTAAAATTAATATAGTGCTCTTACTTTAACACTGGCCTTATTTTAAAACTGCAACAATAAACTTTCAAGTATAACTAGTGGATTGGATTACATTCCTGAATAAATTAATAACAAGTTTTGATAAAAAAGAACTTAAGTTTTTTTTTAACATAGGCCTAACATTTTATTGCTTAAACTAACTTTCTAACTCTTTGATCAATCACAAGTACAACAGACTCTAGAAATAATCTGGGCTCCAGGAAATACAGACTGATAAAACAAATTGACTGCTTGCGGAAAAGGAAAGCCTGAATTACATGATTTGCGATTGCATGGAAATAAATGCCTGAGAGAATGTGGAAGGGTTTTGATACTGTAGGCTTTAAAGTGCAATAACAGTAACGCTGAGTATTATATAGTATATCAGCTGATAAATCAGAATATTTAACTTTTTGCTATCTGTGCTATGCGCCACTGTGTCTTAATATTGTACTAAAAACAGATTTAAGGAAACCCAGATACTTTAAAATCCAGAATAGCTGTTTGCCTTATAAGTTTGGATTTTGGAGAGTCTATTGAACATTCATCTAAACTTTGCATCATTTTTACAAAATTACAGAATATCAAGGTCAGTCTTGGTCGGATTGGACTGGCTCTTGGCTTTTCAGGTAGCGGGTGAGTTTAGGTGAAAACTTTTCAACCCCCACTTTGCATAGTTGGATGAGAGAGACCTTTGAAATTTGTCAAATTTCCCTCCAGTCTATAATTAGAATTCAGTGAGTTCAGTAAAAACTTAAGTTAGCGCAGTTGATTTGTTTTGCTAACTGGAGTTGAATTGACCATCAAAAAATCATTCGTGTAGAATATATAAAGGAGTACCAATGCAAGAAGTTATAGGGTACAATCATTATTGACTATTGATACAATAGTATCGGTAAGCAATAATCAATGGTGCAATGCTAGAATAATTTCCATCTATTCATAACTAATTTACAACCCAGTTCTTGGTAAAACCAAAACCTGTAATAAGATAGGTTGATGTAAATTGTTATGAACATCTAAATGAAAACATTCAACCAAGTAGTCTCTCATCACCCAATTTTTTCTGTGGGGTTTGTAAAGATCTCACTCTTTGCAGCCAAGTCCAGCCGACCAATTGCAAATTCCTCCGATCGGATCAAACGACAATCCTCTCGGACACGTGTACTCCCATCCAAGTAAATGTTCATTCTCCATCTTGGCGCAAGAAATGAACTTCTTGCATGCAAACGGGTGAGGGAAGTTTCCGATGTCCAGGCACTCGATGTACCCGTCGTTGTGTATTCTGACTTTACCACTCAGCGGAATCTCAACCGGTTCTGCGTAGTAGTCTTCGTAATCGGGTGCCAGGTCGTCGTAGGGTTTATGCCTCGTGATGAATTGTGACTTTGGTGCGATGGTTGTTGGCCCAGGCCTTACTTTGGAGAATGGTCTGGGTGGTCCACGCCTCACAGCTACGGTGGGTTGAGGAGTCGTCGTTGTGGTGGTGGTGGAAGGACGGGAGACTCGTCTTCGATTGGTGACAGTCACTGGAGCAACTGCAATGTTTACAAATTTTTAATTTACGATTAACTTTAAGCTGAATTTGAAGAGCAATGTATACCTGCTTTTAAAGGCTAGTTAAATGATTTATTAAAACAAAAATTATTTTGGTGAATTGTTTTCCTAGTGGAAAAATTTGTATCCTTGATTGTATACCAACCCAAATAGACCTTTTTTTAGATCAACTCCTATTTAAACCTGCCTCTTGGTGCGCCTTTCCGAGCTAACCTTTAAGTTCGAGTCTAGATCTTACCACGAGACCTACGGTAATAGCTTATATGGGAAATTCGATAAACTATTGTTTCTATGTATCATCAATACCAAAGACTTCCAAACGACTAATCGTGAGAAGCTTACATGTCTCAGTAGAGGGAGGTGCTGTAGCCAAGGACTGAATGGCCACCACTGCCACATTAGCTAGATCAGGAAGAGTTGCATCTTCCACGCCCAGACCCTGCAGGTCTCCTTCCAACGACTCTTGGTTCTCTAACCTCTCGGTGTCAACTTCGTGGAGCGACTGAAATAATGCAAAGTAAAGATTAATCCATAGTTTAGATTCACTACTTTCTCTTAACAAGACTCTTGTAAGGCAGCACATCACCGCAAGACATTTGCTATTCGTCAGAATGAAATATTTGAAAGCCAAACGGGTCCGCTCGACGCTGCGCCGCACCGGGGTTGCGCCGCACCGGGGTTACGCCTGCCATTTGGTGGGCCGCAGCGAACCTGTTAAGATATTTGTATTTGTAATGTTTGTAATGTTGTTATGACTTTTTGTTATAAGACCCCACTTGGGATCATTTTACACATTAATTCAAGCTAGACCAAGGGTTTGTGGCATTATCATTTAGATCAAATCCATTGGCGACTTGGCAGGATTGAGGGCCCGAAGTCCCGCGCTCTACTCGACCAGCTCGCTTCCGCATGTTAGACATCAAAGTTACCTCATCCGAATGGTTGTCTTGTATCTCTACGAAGGGTGCGGACGTTCCAACCAACGCAGCTTGTTGAGGGAGAGAGTTGATGTTGACCTTGGAAGATCTGCGCGGAAACTCAAACCTTCTTTGCTTTGCTGTTGTCTCGTAAAGATCTGAGAAAGGAATAAACAAAGATGATAATAAGGTGTAAGAGGGATGTTAATGCAACATTAAATATAATAGTTTGTTAAGTTTAGTTTGTCAGATGATGTAGGACAGTTGGTTTCTGTGTTTCAATTTCGCTAATCATCTTTTATAGCAATTAATTTACATTGAGTACTGTACCATAATTTATGCCAGGTGCTCAGTGTTGTTAGTAATCACCATATGAACTACTCAACTTGAAACTATAGGTTTTCAAATGTTTTGTCAGATATTTTTATTTATGATCCAAAGCATAGATGGATAAAGAAAATAACTGAGCCAGCCGACCTTTTGCTTTTTTCAACCTTAACAATTTGGATTTGTTTTGCAAATTCGGAGTTAATAGTTAGTCTACTGCCAACTTTTAAATTAGACAAAAGCAAATTTGTACGTAAAAACTTAAGAGTTGTGAAAATGAAAGTATTCCACACCTTTTTTTAAGTCCCTGTACTAGTAGCTTTACCTGTGACCATTGGGGGAGAGTATTAAAAGAGAACAGCATGCTCTTTCTATTGTCGGAAATGGTAACACAACCTCTATCGATAAAAAATCTACCTGCTTTGAAATTCAATTGATTTACAGAATTTTATTGGTTGTTTGGCAAAAATGTATGTGAATGAAGGCAACATACACATGAGTTTATCCGCAAAAAACGCATAGGCACCGACTAGGGGTCTCAATCCCGGGCCTTCAATCCAATCCCGGGATTTCGGGATTCGTCTCAGCCGATCCCGGGATCAATCCTGGGATTATATAATATGATTTTTAACTTTTTAGCCATTTTAATTACTTTAAATGAACGAGAAATCACCTCGTTGAGTACTTTAATGTTTTAAACTGTCCTTACCCGAGTTACACGTTATACTGCGCAATGTATCCGTTTTCTAAGTAGGCCTAAATAAATATTACCACGCATAACTTTCATCAGCCGTATTTCTTATTTACAGTGTATAAATTTTGATATGTCACTCTAGAATATAATAAATATATTTAAAAAAATCCCGAGTAACCGCACTTGCACATAGCCTATACGTCACGCTAATGGATGGATTAAAGATAGCTAAGATAAAAAGATAAAATGGGAAGAATCACGAGTAGCAGCGTGAAAATTTTATTTTGAGTGACAGCAATAAAACAATATAAGATACTGTAAAACAATAAACCATCTGCTTATATAGCAGCTTGTGTGAAAAACGTAATTTAGAATTGTAAGAAATTTAATCAACACACTAATAACCAAATACAAAGATAAAGTTATATACCCTAAATATAAGCAATCTTAATAATGAGATTATAATGGTGTGTTTATAGTTATATTTTATGGCTTCGATGAAAGTAATACTTCAATTTTCGATTGCAATGTTATGTTTGCTACACGAATTACGTTGTTTGCGTTTAATGTTAAAAGTAAAACTCAAAAAAGTTCTAACTAATGTAATAAGATTTACAGAAAGTAAATCCAAATGGTCTAAAAACTGAAACATATATTTATATTTATATTCGTTCGCCTATTGAGTTTAATTATAATTAAATTTTCCAATCAAAATAGATCATTACTTATACCATTTCATATATACAGTACATTTATTATCCTAAAAATAAAGAGTATATATGTGTTTCAAGTGTTATTGGACGTAGGTATTTTTATTTATTTTCCATAAGTAAAAGTCCTCAAATTCACAAAGAAATAAATATAAACATAAGTTTTGCAATCTTGTTAATCCCGGGATTAAAAGTCACCAATCCCGGATTTCTAGGTATCAAAAATTGGCCGGGATTCGGAATCCCAGGATTGAGACCCCTAGCATCGACACACAGACAGCAACCACCTCTATTTTACTATAAAGATCCTCAAATCAAGACAGCAGCTCTTGTTTTGAGTTTTTCTGCATTCTTACAAAGATTTCCAAAATTCAAACTTTTTTATGCCATAGCTATTAAACATGTTAACTCAAAACGTACCAGGTGCGGGTGAAGTGGCAGCGGTTGACACAAAAGCGGTAGTATTTCTGCTCTCTGGACGGAATTTGGATTGGACTCTTCGCCTGAGGAACTTCGCCGTAGGTCGCTCCGATACTAAGTTACTTTCTGTAGTCGTAGACGACCGGCTCCTCAAAGTGGAGGGGGTAACTGGCCGACGGAAACCCACTCTTACTCTGTTAGTTCCTACCTTTATTGGGGCAAGCAAAGTAAGGTTAGCTAATTATGTAAAATCCAGTTCAGTATATCAAAACAATTGTGATATGTATTAGGGTTATTGTTTTCTGCTCAACAGAACACTTTTAGTTTATATTAATTAATTTAATTGTATACTTCTAATGAATTTGCTAGATGGATTCGTATTTAGGAATCAATTTGTAAAAGTTGTAATATCATCTAGTACTTTATTTTCTGGCAAAAATATAGCTGCAATTTTAAGATAAAATACAAACTACCTATTGTAGCATGTTTATATCTGTATGAAATGAAGTAAACAATTTAAATACATCGTTTGAGATAAAATTCCTTAAGGTTCAGGCCCCCCCCCCCTAAAGAAAAAAACTAAAATTTGTAAAGCTTTGTAGAATTTTATACATCTCAAAGAGTCCAAAGTAAATCTCTGTAATTATATAATTATAAATAAGTATGTAACGTGTACACTAATTCAATAAAAATAAGCGGTTTTGATGTTTTTCTGTTACAAGCAATTGGTTTACCACCCCCTCAGATAATCTTCTGCAGGTGTCTTCGTTACAGTTATGAAAACAGTTAGATAATTTTCTATTATATGTCATTTAATTCTCGGATTCGAACCCGAGCAGACGAATGCCACTGGCCAAGTGACACACGCCCTAGCCTTCTCGGCTATCTGTGCTTGAAGACTGGGGAGTCAAAACCCGGTATTTAAGCTGTCGCCACCGATTGCGAACAGATGGCGCTGCAGATGATTGTTCAATGCGTTACTAGGTAGCAGCACCAGCTAGTCACGGACTATTTAGATGCAATTTTTTAGTTTTAGTAGTAGTAAATGTGTTCCTGAGACTTTGCTGCAAAACATTAGTTTCCCTAAAATTGCTATATTACAATAACCTCTTCCAACTAAATCAGGGTTAAATTCAATATTACATTGTAAACTATATGTCTTTTGATTTTGTGAGATTTCGGTTTCAAATAATGCTATCAGAACATAAAAATTTATAGGAAAACCAGGAAAATTACAACAAAGACTAAGTTTTATTTGATGTTTACTACAAATACCGGGATTTATCTTTCTTATATATTTTCTTATTGTGTTATTATTCAAAATTAGCCTAATTAATAAAATAGTGACAACATGACAGTTAAAATTCAACAACGTGTAATGGAATTAAAAGGCAAACAAAAAAGTCTTACAAAATATGAATTATTGGCCTAGCACTGAAAGGGTTAAAGTGTTTAACGATTGGTTCTATCTATCAGCTCAAGCAAGTTTACAATGCAATTAGGGAACACAATGGAATTAATTACATTGAACAAATCCAAAGGCTATTTTTGTACAGCTTCTGTTTTTTCAAGAGGTCAAATAAAGGTTAGTATACAAACCGTAATACCAAGCAGTAAAAAATCACATGAAACACTGCAGCACACAAAAACATAATCTGTAAACGTATCCAACACATTAACAAACAAATTAACAAATTGCAAACATGTTAGTCGACCAGCAGTTGCATGCACCACTGTCCATATCAAACAAGCAACTCAACCGCATGGACTAAGCCGCAACTAAGCCATGCCTCGGACCAGAGTAGTAAATCTGTTTTGTCCAAATGATTCGCTCCAAGAATCATTGTTAATAACAATCTTAAACCGAAACAGTTACAGGAGTACAAGTCATGCCACTCTGTTAGACAGGAGGGAAGAGATTAGTCAACGAACTCAAACAACGTGCGGATCTTTGTCATTCAGCCGCAAACAAAACTTCCTACCTCATCTGGAACATCTGTGGCCTCCTCATTTACATCGGTAACTCCGACGATGTCATCAAATAGGGATTCAAACGCCTTGACTTTTCCTCTTGTGTCTCTCCCTGTAAGAGAGTTTTCTGATGGCTGGCCTTTCACCGACCTCGGAAAACTGCCTCTGGAAACATCAAACTCACCGTCTGTTTCTCTTTGGACGTACAAAGATGTTCCTGTATCCAAATCGCTCAAGTCTCTTTCTGGAAATCTGTTTGAGCCTCGTCTAGATTGAGTTGGAACTCTTTCACCGTCACTATCAGTTTTCACTTTTTTTCTTATTACCATAACCTTCCTTTTTCCACTTGTATTGTCAGTGCTGTCCAAAGTGTTAATTTGGTTGATACTTTTCAGAACTTTTACTTTTCTTCGTCTGTTATCTTTTCCCTCCACCTCTTCATCTTTTCCACTGTAGTTGACTCTTGTAAGTTCGTGTTCAGAAACAAGTCCAAGTGAATCTTCGTTGTCGTTCCTCTGTCTGTTAGGCAAGATTCGTGATTGTTTTTTGCTTGATTCTTCAAGTTCAGGCTTCTGTGTGCTAAATCCTCGACTTCTAACTCTATTATTGTTCCTATCCTCAATGACTCTATTTCTTCTCGCAGTTTCTGTCGAGGTTTCAGTAACTTTTTCTGTGTTATTTGGTTTGTTTTTCCTGACTAGAACTTTCCGTCTTCTTGAAGATTTTTCTGTATCTTCAGCGGATTTGCTTGTGGACAGATTTTTCTCTGATCGCTGACTTTCAATCTTTCTCCGTCTACTTGGAGCTGTAACTACTTTCTTCTCTTTTTCAAGTATTGAATTTCCTAAAACATCTTCTGTAACAGGGGCTCCTTGAAACCGAACAGATCCCCTTCTACCTGTAAAAGACTGCTCATTGTATCTTGAAGCTATAACATTCAACACTTCACCGTCTGACTGATTGTCGTCAAAAGTATCATTGTCGTTACTAGTATTTGCCGCTAATGATTGGTTTTGACTATCGATTTCTGCTTTTGTATTATTCAGAAAAACACCTTTTAGTAATATTGACTCAGTTGTCACAGACTCATTTTTCGTAACTGCATCGGCGCTTACGATTTCAGAAGTACTTTCAGTGGTTGCTAGAGTAACATTTGGTAGAGTATTGTTATTTTCTTCTTGATTAATCCGTGTTTCATTTAAAATCTTACTTACACTAGGTGTTGAGGTAGAATTATCAAGGTTGAGAATTGAGACTAGATCATTTGTATTATTTGATACTGTTGTACTATTGTAACTAATACTAAGTTGGCCTGGTTTCACACTAGCGTTTTCTTGAGAGATCATTATTTCATGTTTTTCTTCTTCACTGCTAGTACTTCTGACTGAGCTGTCCTCAGTGGTAGATTGTTGATCTAAGGTGGTTTTCTGGGAAACACTCTCTGTTTCGTTCTTTGGCTTTCTCCTTCTTTGAATCTGAAATCTGGAGCCTCCAGTATTGAATAGACTAGTTGTACTCTTCAACTCAAAGTTTTGTTCAGTTGTAGATTGCAAAGGTCGAGTTGACAATGAACTTGACTCTCGATTTCTCCCTCTGCTAATAACAAATCGAGACCTACTTGAAGATTTTGGAGTGGCTACATCATCATCAAGTGGAGTTGAAGCTTTTTCTGTGGTGGTTGTTCTCAATCTACCTCGAGTAAATAGCCTTGTTGGCTTTTCAGATGAGATTTCTGTATAATCCGATTCTGTACTAGCCTTATTTCCATAGGACTTCCTTTTCTTGCTATTGTTATCTGTCAGCTCATCCTTACTTCCAAATTTATTTCTTGTTTTGTTTTCTTCTAACCCGTCTTCCACCTCAGGTTTTTCTGTAGTACTTCTAGTGCGACCTCTGAAAGTAAATCTTGAACCCGCAGTAGTAGGTCTTGATGTTCGATATCGGTTTGCTCTAGGAGTAGAGCTTTCAGGTTCTTCAACAGCAATCGGTTCAGTAGAACTCGGCCTTTCTCTTACCCTCTCCCTATTTCTAGGAGTAAATCGTCCAAACTGCTTAGCTTTGGTAGAAGTCTGAGTTTCTTCAGTTTCAGAACTTACATCTGGAGCCACAGTAGTGGTTCTCCTGCGTTGCAAGTAAAGAGGCAAAGCTTTTGTTGTTGGAGGTTCGATTACAATCGGTTTCCTCGGTCTACCCCGGTAGTTGCCAATCGGTCTAAACCGATTCTTCTCTTCCACCTTATCTTCAAGGTCTATCTCCTTGGTGCTTTCAATAACGCTACTCTTTCCTTCCACAGGTTTTTTATCTGCTGAAACAGTGTTAGCTAGTAAGTCGTGGTCGGCTAAAGCTTGTTTGAGATTTTTCACCGGTACCCTTCTTCTTTCTGTCGCTCCTTCAACTACTACAGTTACTATACTGGTCAGAGTCGATGTCTGATATGGAACAGTGGTAGGTTTTGTACTGATTGGTTCTGTTGATGTTTTGGCTTCTGTGTATATTGTGTTCGGTTCCGGCGTAACAATAAAGACTGTTGAAGCTTCGGTGGTCGCGGTCGTCGGTGTTTCTGTATTGTTCTCTGAGGGCTCTGCCGTAGCATCCATCTGCTCTACGTTTGGCTTACCCTCACTCACCTTTATCTTAGGCCTGACCGAAGTTGGTATCGGTTCCTCAACGTCTATCTCTATCGGTTTGATTTCCTCCTCTTGTTCAATCACTATTGTTTCTCCTGTGTGTTTTATTGTTGACTCCTCCTGTTGTTGTTCCGATTGAGGTCGCTGCCTCCTCAATGTAACATACCTGCCAACACAACACAACCTTAGTATTTTATAACACTTTACTTCTAAGTAATTTAATATTTTTACCTTCAGTTTAAACCTTTTAATACTTTGGGACTTAAAAGGTTATGCATAAAGCCAAAATCATCCAAAAATTCAAATATTACCACACAAGTTTTGATCAAAATATTTAATACATTTGATGAGTGTTGCATTACCATTCACTAAAGTATATTTTCTCCCAAACATGTCTGGTGAAATTCTTTCTAAAGTCTAAAGTGGTGCCTCTAGTGTAGGGTATCTTACAAAACATTGGCTTAAATAATATAAGCACTGTTTGTTGAAAGTGATTTACTTGTAATATTGAAATCTTAAATTTTTTATTCATCGGTGCTGCTAATCCTTCTCATAAGAAGAAAGCCCTAAGAAAATACCAAGACTTTTTCTAATTTTATACAAAATCCCTACAATCAGATTTCGACATTTTTCTTGAGTTCAGGAAATCAAACCATTAAACTCAGGTTAAAAATAGCTGGCATACCAGTGTATTTTTTTAAATCGTTAAAACATGAAGCTATATTTTACTACCTGGGGGTAGTGCTCTCAATGAAGGCTTCGACAGTGGTTGGTCTGTTCCGTTGAATGCTTGAGTATTTGGGTTTAAACCTGAAACAAATATACATTAGTTGTATATGAGATGCATTGTTAAAACTCAAAAAAATAAAAAATTCAATCTTGGACTAAAGAGTTGACCAATAATTAAAACTATAAACTGTAAAATTCTTTAATTTTTCATTATTTACAAAGGACGATGTATTTAACAACATTGTTGCCATTAATCTATATTTGGAACCAGTTTGAATGGTGATGTGTAGGTAGGTACGTAGGTAAGTTTCAAGTAACAAAATACGGTATAACATGGTGTTTGATGGATTATCACGGACATTTTCTATCAGGATAAAGTCAAGTCAAGTAAAGTCAATAATATATAAGTGCTGTTTCCTTGGCATCAGCCCACAAAATGCTTCTTCCGGTCACCAAATTATGTTCCTAACACACTTAAGAAAAGTGTCAAATATATATCTAGATGATAATACAGTAATTATCAAGTAGGCTGCTAAATACATTAATGCAACACAAAAACTTTTATTCTCTTCTTTTATTCTTTTACCTTTCTTCTTCCTCTTCGTCTTCTTTGATAGGTTGTGCCGGCCGGGATCGCTCAATAGTCTGGTATCGAGGTGTTGTCGGTCCGGCCCGGACAACTGGTTCTTCTTCTTCCTCCTCAGTTGACTCCTTCACCTCGTACTGTGGCGGGCGGTTACGGATGATGCTGGTGTATTTGTACCTTGAACTCGGAGTTACGACTTCCACTTTCTCTTCCTCTGGGGCTTCAGTTGATGGTCTAAGCAAGCAAGGCAACAAATAAAAAAATAGCCTGCACTAAATAATAAAATTGTTAAAATGTTGGTAAGTATAAATCTTGGAAGCACAAAAAATACACAAAATTTGTTTCACCTATTGGGTCTGATGATGATTGGCGTGTCCAATCGAAATCGATCACCACTTACCATCTTTTTTATGTATTTACCGTCTTGTGAGTAAAAAGTATAAGTGTAAATATAATATCCATACAAATGTTGTTTGACGTCTTTTTGTGCTTTCAGGTAATTTAATACACAATGCTGATAAAGAAATTATTTAGCATAAATCTTGTCTAACTCTGCTGTGCATTTTTTATTGATGATTGTGACCATTAGATAATACCCCCGCCGCAGTAAACCTGCAGACTAAGCGAATTTCCATTTGCCTGATTGGATTTACACTAAAATGTCTCTTTAAAAATATCACATTTATTCCCTATTTAAATCAAATCAGTTTAACACATGCTTAGGTTTGCTGCAACAGGGAGGGTTAAAGTGTTTTTTTATGTAAAACGTTAATAGTTAGTAAGAAATAAAAACATTTTCCAAATTTGGGCAAAATATGTTAATAAATAAGCAAACTACAACAGTTTACTTATCCTCCATAAGAATAACATAGGAATTTTAAATTTACAATTTTTTTGAATTTTCTCCGTAACCATTAGGCGCATTATAACGCTTCAATATACTAAATTATTTGTTTTTTTAAGCTCTACAAAATAGTTTGGAAATAAATTGCAAAAATTTAAGTTTTTTGGGTCAAAAATGGGAAAAACCCATTTTTACCCCATAAAAGCCCCCATAAACCCCCGTTCCCATGGTCCAATCATGCTGGTTCGCGAACTCGTTCGAATAAACGTAGGTTTACACGTTTGTACCAAATTTCATCAAAATCGGATCATTTTTGCTTGAGTTATCGCGCTAACGGACACATATATATATAAATATATATATATATAAATATATATATATATATAATATATATATGAATTTGAACGGATGCTATTTTTGGCCTCTAGGGACCTCAAAACGAAAAAAAAAATCGGTCCCGGGTCCAGGTCTTACCATGAGTACTACGGTAATAGCTTATTCCCTATATGGGAAATTCGCTAAAAGGCAAACAGATTTAACTTTGCCTAATAAAAAGCTTTGGTAATTAAAAAAAATATATATACATATATATATATATATTTAGAGTCGGGGCCACATAAGTTTGCAGTTGAGGGAGGAGCCTATTTACCATATGGTTTCGAATGAACCAATGAGAACCGTGTGGTGTTGCCAAATCTAATAATACCAGCTGATTTGAAAATATTGCTTAGTATATTTTTATTAGTGTTGTCAACGGGCGATGTGGCAACGTCACACTAGCCTTGTCTTGTGATTGGCTGCCACCAACTGCAAACTTACGTGGTCCTGATAATAGATGGATAGCAGTTGATAGTTTGTATTACATAAATATTATACTCTTTCTTTATTTTTTTATTCCTACCAACCCTGAAAACAAGGCTTCAGATTAATTTTTCCTGTGAGATCCGGTCATAACTTTCACCCTGCTTTTTTGTTCAAAAAAATACTTGAAATCACTTATACATTCTACATATTTTGTACAAATACAATCATAACACTCGTAAACTGCGATAAAGATGTTTATTTCTTAATCTGATTCTTACCTTTCCCTCCGAATAGTGACATATTGAGGTTTGTCTCTGCGATAGCTTGAACCATCATCCTCCTTTGCCAAACCTTCATTCTGCGGGCCAGATGGTCCATTCCTGTATGGTGACTGGTACCTGCACGTCAAAATTTTGAATTATTATTTGTACACAGCATAAATTTAAATTACAACTGACATAAAGTAAACTGCTATTTTAATTGTTATATGATGTTGTAGTAATGTATCAAAATATGCATACAAAAATATGTACAAAATAACATTTAGTTACATTTATATCAAAATTTGCCAATACTCTATCTATAGGCTTACTGAATTAATCTAGTCTTGTATAGTTGTATTGTTGTACATAATGTATAGTTGGTAGCGTATTTATAATCATCTGGGAAAGACAAGGAAGGTGAGAGATTTTACTGTCTACCTTTTCAGAAAGTTTGTTACTTTAGTTTAAGCATAGACAAAAGAATAATTAAATATAGACTGACAAAGGAAGGTTCCACAATGTGTCGCTGGAGTGTGCTCAGTGTTCGTAAATTCGCTGCCGTTGTTGACTCACCGTCTGCTAACCAGCACTACCACCCTTGCAAAGGAAATGCCCCAATTTTCAATATGGGTAAAGTACAAAATTCTGAAATCCCGTAATATTAAGGGAAAATCTAATTTAAAAAAAAAATCTCCGGAAATGTTCAAAACAGGGTAAAATAACGGAACAAACTCCTACCCCCCGGATTCGGGAGAATTCTCCAGGAGTTGGCAACCCTGGCTCCCTAGTTTGTCATGGCAACGCTTGCTAGTGCTTGACGCTGCAGTGGTGTGCACCAAAACTACACGGCACGACTAGCGGTGGACGCCAGAATATATGCTAACCGCATATATTCTGTCGGTCTATTTTAATTTTTTTTTGTCTATGGTATAAGCTATCCATTTGATGGTCTTAATATTGGGCATTTTATTGAATTCTTAAAACAGTAAGAAAAGGATTTGCCAATCTACCTTGGTCTCTGGGGAGTGAGAACTTTCTTGTAGAGACTTCTAGGAATGGCAGGAGTAGACACTCCACTGGCTCCAGCTCCCTCCAGCTGTTTTTCTAGTTCTGCAACTCCTCCTGTACAACCATAACATAATCAATGTTAAAAGGGTCATAATGATGATGTATTTCATATCCATACCATATAGCAAGTTTTAATAAGATTTAACAATCTTGAAACAAAGACAAATTCAGGAGGAAAGTTTCACAAAAGATGTGAAAACTTTGATACATAAAGTCATATCAACATCCCATAACCCAGAGTGTGTTCAAAAATTTTAAATACAATCTTTTAGTTTCCAATGATTTTATTTATGAATTTTCTACAATCGGTAATTTTTTTATCGTTAATTTTAGGCGACAAAAATTGAGTGATCAACTTGTTCACTATAGTGTTTATAGCATCTACCTAGTTTGTAGCACCTACCTAGTTTATAGCACCTACCTAGTTTCTTGATGAGTTGGATCAGCTGTTTAATAGCCTCAGGGTCTTCCTGCTCATGCTCCTCTTCTTCTTCTTCATACTCTTCTTCAGGGATAGGTGCTTCTGTTGTGGTGGTAGTGGTAGTAGTAGTTGTAGTGATGATTTTACTTCCAGAGGACTTTGTAGTTGATGCGGTAGTCTTTGGAGCAGCTGTTGTTGTTTTTTCTGATTTATCCTTCTTGTTGCACAGAACATTTCTTGTGTAGTCGCAAGAATCTGCTGCCTTGTTGAAGAACAATCCTAGACAAAACAAAGAAAACAATTCCACTTGAATGAGTCTAAAAGTTAACACGAAAAGTTAATGATGCATTAATCTAGATTATTTATTGGTACCGGTACATAGCTGTAAAAATGTACAGCGTGACAAAGGTTTAGTGGGTTGCCTTTTGTGAATAGCATTGAGATTATGGGCAAAACAATGAACTCCCAACTTCCACCACTGAGAGTTTTGGTATATTCATCATTAAGGCATGTTTTGGTTAGAATTAGTATCATTAGATTTTTTTAAATTTCCTAAGCCATCATTATTTTTTTTATGAATATTTCTCAAATCTTAATATACCATCACATGTTCTAAATTATTTTTTAAATGTCTTGAGTTCTGTAGAAACAAAACAAATACCTGATGGACAAGTGAACTGATGAGCTACAATCCCCAAGTTGGATGGGCCGCTGTCTAAACACCAGAAATACTTCTTGCAGTCTCGTGGATGAGGGAAAAAACCCTCGTCTTTGCAAACAAAGTCTGAAAAATAATGGAAATGTAAGCGTTAAAATATAAGTTATTGGTTTGTAGTTCAATTGTATCTAGATTAATAGTAGGCAACTTATGAAAATTTGGTTTCCTATAATTTTTCATCATATAACTTCTATTTCTTACTATAACTAAGATACAGTTTAAAAAACATCAACAAAGAATCACTCAAAGCTCAAAATCACTTACTCTTTTTCTTAGCCATACTTGCCACCTTCATTTAACTTTATAATATGCAAAAGTATGCAGTTAAAGGAAGTTAGATTAAAAGAGAGAGTAAAGAAACAATACAAAATGGTTTGGACAGTTGAGGAGTTCCTAGGAAAATAGCTTTAGAGTAAAGAAGACCAAGAGAACAATTTAGAGACGGATGGCTTAGGTGAAGACGGATGGCTTTAGTGGGTTAGAATTTTAAAATGTCACTTTAGGTACTTTTTTCAATGTTGGGAACATTAACCCTTTAAAGTAGATTTTTTCCCATTTTTCGGGGAGTATAGGTTGCCATTCGAGCAGTCGGGAAAACGGCGCCTGTCGACCTATACTCGCAATTTGACCGCAAAGATACACTTTTATGAATTTTTATTTTGTGAGTACAGGTCGCCATTTTTGAGCAGTCTGGAAAATAGCGGGTGGCGACTTATACTACCTATACTATTACTATACTACACCTATACTATTCAACCGCAAAGGGTTAAAAGTACATATATATGATATGGCCGAAAAGTAATTTAAAAAATTTAAAACAGATTGAAAATCCAAGAAATTTTACAAATGTTAGAAGTAGGGCGTTTTTAAAGGTAAAGGAGTGCGATTTTCGAAATACGCTTTAGGGTGTCTTGTTGAAAATTCAATTCCTGACCATGAAAATTCTTTCAAATCTTTGCTAGCTCTTACTGTTTTTGGGCTATAGCTGTTTAAAAACTTTTAAACTTTTTGGATTTAATGGTTGGTTTGGGACCGAGAGGACCTCCACAAAAATTTCAGATCCCTAGCTATTCTAGAAGTAGGTAAACATTGGTATACCTGATCAGCGAGTTACACAAGCGGCTGTATATCCCGTTAAAGTATATGGGTGGTCTGATTAACCCTGAATAATGCAAGATTATCAAATAAAAATACTTTTCACTACTATTGAGATGTTAACAATAACATACCGCTGCCAGGATCAGGAGTGGTTGGAGGTTCCGGGGTTGTAAGTCCCTTTGAAGGGGGAGAAGGCGTAGTTGTTGTAGTCCGAGAGACTTTTGGGGGACTTTTCGATGGTTTTGTCACTCTTCTGTTAGGTGTTGTGAACCCAGATGTCTTCTCTTTCTTGTTGGAACTAGACACAACGTTGTTGGATGTCCTGAAATGAAAATTCCTGATTTAGGTGACTTAAACTGAATACATAGTGATTCAAGAGTAGCAACAACAGAGTGTTTATTTCAACGGAAATTAAATCATTTCAACAACTGTCAAACACTTTTTAATGACAAAACCAGCTCATATGTTAGCATCCCTTGTTTTCTTAACTTTTTTGCCTATCAGCTAATAAGCATTGTTGCGTAGAAATATATTATTTAGTGTTATTGAGAATTTATTGTAAATAAGACTCAACGTGGTTGTGTTGTGTTTGTAAAAACTAAATAGAGTATGTATTTTAGGTCAACGTTTGATTTTAGGTCCGGTTACCATGTTTGTTAAATCTATGCACAGATGATTTTTTAGGTAGTGGAATCACACCTGAAAACCTAATTTTAAACCTTTCTTGGTATAAAACCAATGATTGACTTTTAATTCATGTAAAATTATCAATATTAATTAATTAACAATTAATTGAGATGGGGACGCCCCCTAGGGGGATATTTTTACCTAAATATGAGTAGAGGATGTGTGTAGAGAGTGATCTTTGTTACTGACTAAGCTCAACTGTTTCATCATTCAGGATAATTTATTTAAAGCCCAATGATCAGCAACAGCTGGGTCTAGTTTCAAACCATCAAAAAGCTACTGACTTTGCTCAGGATCGAACCAGCGACGTTTCGATTGTTAGGTGAGCACTTAAACCACTCAGCTACTCAGCCGTACATATCTCTTTGAGCTTGAATATATACAACATGTCTTGAGAACGTGTTGAGTCTTATTCACAATAAGTTCTAAATAACACTAAAACTCAAATAACTGTACAAAATGCATATCTGCTGATTGGCAATGAAGTAAAGAAAACAGGGATAACAAAATGTGAGCCTTGATATTTGCAATTTAAGTTGTCTTTTTAAACAAAAGCTGTACAAACTAATAACATGCTTGTAGCTTCAGCAAATTTTAACAATCGACTACCATCTTCATATTTTTTTCTTTATTTTTAAACTACCTAAGATTCAATTCAAACTCACCCAGAGGAAGCGTAGAGTGCTTCCTTGGCTGCTTCTATCAGAGGATACGCTCTGTCATGACATTTCCCACGGAAATCGTCGTTGTCAATAGACCAGAACATGATTCCTCCGAGGCTTTGATCGTTCACGTACTGGCTCTGAGGACGGAGAAAGCTTTGAGAAACAAGTTTCAAGTCAAAACTTCAAATTATACCTTTTTTTTCCTGCTGGTGTAGCTGTGAAGTTTCCACTGTAAGGGAACACTTTTGGCGGTTTAGTTTTTGGGGAGTTGAAAAGTGCTAGTTGAATAAAAGCTAAAAGTCTCTCTATTCAGCAGCTGATCTTAGTCAGTGTCAAAATTACACGAGTCATCTCACTTCATTCTACGCTCATCCTCACTCATATTTCGGTTAAAATACACACCTAAGTACGTTAGTGACCTAGGTACCTATCTCAATTGGCAATATATATAATATTTATAATTTGACCATATCACCAACGATGATCAGGACACAATGGGTGTATTTAAATCCAAATACGAATGAACAATGAGTGATGGATAGGTGAAATTTTTTTTGTATGCTTTGATACTTGTTTTGCATGTGTTTATGCCAGAGACATTATGAAAGAAACTTTAACACTTTGATGAAACACATCAAATTTTAGTTTTGAAGTTGAACCAATTAGAAAGATTCCTACTTTTAAAATGAAATCAGCGCCTCTCTGGTTATCAAACAGAATAGGTCAATAAACAGAGTTGTTGTCGTTCAACAGAGTTTTTGATGTTAAATGGTGATAATTAAATCTCAAGGAAGTAGTTTTCAGAAATACACCTTTTGCAAGTTCCATCGGATATATATTATTAAGTTGGAACATGGGACGTGAACACGACTAGATTAATGATTTATTTTATTGTATTGTGTTACTGTAGTTTATACTAAAAACAGATTAGCAACACATTCACGGGAGATTTACTTACTTTTCTAAAAGCAGGTCATCGTTTTGATGTATTGCGGAAATAGAAAACAAAGTTCCAATTATACTGCACGGACCCTGAAATGACATATTTCATTGTCCATATTCCATATTGTCAAAGTTGTATGACACTTTCCATACATTCAAGAATAAAAAAGAGACATTTCGTAGTGTTGTATCTTGTGCAATGCAGTCTGTGGTAGCTGAACGTACATAAATAAACTGTTTTTAATCAGTGACATTTCGTCATAATGTTTTATTGATTGGTATCTTCTTCAATGCAATGTGTAACATAAAAAATTAGTTTTATGAGTTGTCACTTTGGGCTTCAACATATATATCCTAGTATTCATCAACAGTTGTAGTAAAAAAATAAGAATTCACATTATTGACTAACAGAATAAATATATGTCTTCACATCAGCTCCTGCTAAATTAGTTTATAATACATACGTGAACAATTTTAACTTCTAATTTAAACCTTAGATACGCTTTTTTTGTATGTATAGTAGAATTTACAATGCAGGTTTTGTGTGTGTTTGATAAGGGTCCTAATATACTTGTAACATAATTATGAGTACCTACTAATAGTAAAGTTGTCAAGTTGAAATTTAACTTATATGACTTATAAGTTTAAAGAAATTAAACATTTAATAAATACAGTAAACATGAGAAATAAATAGACACAAAATAACTAAGACAACATGTATTTTCTCATACCCTGAAAACTAAATGTAGAAAAGTGAAAATATGACACAAAATAACACTTGGCACACAATATTCTACAACAGGAACACAATATCACAAAGCGTTGTAAACACGACAACACGTAAACTTGTTATCCACCGAAGCTGTTACGATTGCTCTGTCACAATAAAACTCACGAGTGATTGTCGTTATCCGATTCCATTCGTCTCGCTGAGTTTGTGTTAGTTTATTTCCATCGGCTGTAAATTTTGACAAAACGTATCTATTGTCAGGAGTTTTCTCTTCAAATTCTTTTCCGAGTTGGAAAGTGGTGTACATGTTTCTGAAGAATGATTCCGAAGATAGTGTATATTCAGTGGCGTTTTCGTTAAGTTTAAGTTCGATAATAGGTTTAGCGAGCACTACAGCTTTCCTCATCACCCAGTTTACTCCGAGATATTCCATCAAGTCTTCGAAATTGTCTTCATCGCTTTCCACCAACTCGTATCGTTTATTGAGATAAGGTGTGAGAGAATCAGTTGTATTGACACATCCACCATCGGTAGATTGGCAATTGGTAAAGCAGTCGAAAGTACACAAAAAAGCAATAAGCACGACACAAAAACTCATAATTGTTTGATCACATTGATGTGGGTGAAATGTGTGTTATCTCAAACGAAATTGTTGCTAATGCGTTTATTTGCATCTTGTTCCAATTGATTACATCTTATCATCCTACGATCTGATAACAACTTGTATAACATACTGTAATATTACTTAATTGGTATTTTCAGGCTGTACAACCGATTATCCCATATATTACGATTGACGTTCACTCTTTGTTTATGATTATGATTTTGCTTTTAGTGGATTTCAACCTATAAACCATCAAATAATCTGTAAACTCATCAAACAAACTTTAATAAACACACACTAAAACATTGAAAATAATATAAATGTTATGTACAAACATCCAAACTAAATGAAATATATTGGTTATTTTGAACACTTTTGTACAGGTACAACAAAAGCATTAAAAATTTAATTCACTTCATCACTAACTGGTACAAAAACAAGGTAAAATATAATTTATGTTAACATTTTTGCTAGAAATTACTTGAATCAAAACAAATTGACCTTATTTAAAAATTTTAACAAAATTTTAACTGCGGAAAATATTAAATATTCCTAAATCCGAGACTCTAACCAATAGGCTAGCAACATACCAATATTCTGGATTTCTTATTGGAATAATTACCATAAAACTGTTTGACTGTTATTCTTAAAAATAGTACATTTTTGCGATGATACCAAAATAAAATTTTTAAATATTGGACAATGTATAATTTAGACATTATCATGGTATGTAAATTTCTAACTCAACTAACCTTCTTCTTAGCGATATCCATATCGTCATATCCAACCCATTGGTTATTCTTGAAAGCATACGGTCCCATGGCTCCTGGCTTAGGCTGTACAACGGTCCAGTCATCTTCGTCCTTAAGAGCTTGACAGATCTGTTAGTAAAATAGAAAAAGAATTAATAAGGAGATAAACTTCAAATAGCATACCTTAACTTAGGTGCTTACAGATGGAGCGAGTAATGTCGCTTTAATTTTAAAGTAGATGTATACAAAGAAAAAAACATACAAGAGTTTTTCAGGATTTAGTGAGTTCAGGGTTACTTACTAAAGTATGCATCAGTAAATAATTGTATTTTGAAGGTATTTTTAATTATAAAGTTCTATGATATAGCACAAATGGTTCACAAAAATGAGAAAATCGTAATTTTCCTTTTAAAAATTTGAATAACATGTTGTTGGCTAATTTATAGAATTACCGGTAATGTTTTTGGCTAAACAAAAGCCATTGCATATTTGTAAAATTGGAAATCAACAGTTATCAAACTTAGATTTTAAAAAATCATATCCTTTACATTGGACACTTAAAAATAGTAAATTATTGAGCAAATTTTACACTACATTAAACATATAATTGACTTGTTAAGATTGTAAGAAATCAGTTTCCTCTCCAAAATTAATGTGGAAAAAAGTAAAAGTTATTGCCTTTAGAACGTAAGAGGCAGAAAGTATTTACTTGATCTTCAAAAGTAACTGGGGGGCCAGATACATATCAATTTTGATAAGAGAAAGTACGTTCACTTCCTTGTATAGTTTTAGTAATTTTTGAAGCTGTCAAATATACATGAAGTGAGCTTTGTATAGTCATTGACAAAGATTATAAATTGACAATATTAGATGGGATACTAAAGTAGACATCCCATCTATATAGACTAATTGTGGCCCATTATTTCTTTTTTAAATATAATAGTTGTGTGAGCCAGTCACAGAATGCAACAGTGACTAATATTCTATTTCCTAACTTATTTTTTGTTGCTGACCAAGTTGATGTATCATTAACAGTTGCTTTAGCTCACAATAAGTCATTCCATTAGTTTGACTTGGTAAGAGTTTGCGTTTTCTTTTGAAAAAATTTGTACAGTAATTTAAATCAGCACAATCTGTCGGTGGCTCACATCAACTATTATTTTCATTAAAAACTGGCGACAACTTTAACATAGAGATGGAATGTCTAGGAGTTTCAACAGGCTAATAGTATAGTCTAATGAATCACCTCATAGTATGCAAGGTAGCCCTTTTCCCTCGTAGCGTCGCCCTGTTCACCTGGACCATCGGCTGGGGCACCGATGTCCGTACTGTCAGGATTAAACAACGTGTAGGACCTGCCATAGGTCGGGATACCTAGCACCAGCTTATCCCTATCAGCTCCCAGCTTCAGATAGTGCTTCACTGTGTAGTCCTACGGCAAGAGGATGAAATCAATACAGATTCAAATGTTTTTGGAGGAAAAAGCACTTGGCTTAGGAATACATTGTAGAAGAAGGAATGGATACACAACTAACTTACCTAAGAAATGAGTTTGAGGTAGCTTACTATATAGTTAAAAGAGCAAAACAAAATTTCATAACACAATAAACCTGATATTTCACCTCTACAAGGAAGGGGCTTCTTCAGAAGAAAGAAGTTTAATGGCAATTGGCAATCTTTCTTCTGAAGAAGCCCTTGTAGGGGTGAAACATCAAGATTGTGTTGTGAATTTTTTTGAGTGCGTGCATTAAACTACCTTGAAATATTTTCTTAGGTGCCATAAGTCAGTTGTGTATAAATTCTTTCTCCCTTTACTAAATATCAATAACTAAATCTTTATCTTTATACATGTATAACTTTTTGCAAGATACTTAAAGAAAGCGCTTTGGAAAAGAAATAGAGTTTGCAAAAACGGACCCAATAATAAAATAGCTTGTCTTTAAACAAAAGGTAGATAGATTATTTTGCCATGAATGTAATCATCAATGAATGACCAAAACAATGTCCCAGACAAAAGCGTCTATTGCTCCGCCCATTTCTTTGGATCATGAACCAACCTGTTTTATTTTTCTAAAGTTATTTAAAAAGTCTTAAACTGAATTGGCATTTTTTTTTGAAAATTTAATGTAATAAACAATAGTCTTTAGATATAGTGTTAATTTCACCATGTAAGATAACAATATATTGGGGATACATATACAAAAAAATGTGGGTCTGCTTTTCTTTAAAAGTAAATGAGATTGTTTTTATTTTTTTAAACTAAAGGTTTCTTAAATAGCTAAAAAAATTACCAATGTGTTTCATCTTTCATATAGTATTTTTTTGGGATTTTGCAAATGATGAAGATTCAGTCTGACACACTGAATTAGTAATTCACTCTCGTTTAAAAATGTAGTACCATTTAGGTATCTTTTATTCAACTTTTATCTTACCTTTGCTTCCTTTAAAATTCTTTTATGAGCAGATTCACCCTGAACATCAACAAATGGTTAGCGTACTCACTACAATAACTCACAATGGAGAGTTGAGCGTCAAAGTTGTATTCGTTGTCCTCCTCGAGAGGGAACAACGGAGAGTGATGGTTGACAGCCGGCTCAAACGCTGAGTGATAGTCGTAGCTGAGGATGTTCATGAAGTCCAAATACCTGGAATATGAGGTGATTGACAATTAATACGAGTATTTGAGGGGAAATGAAAGAGATTCTTCGATTCTTGGTGAATTTCACACCACACACAAGACAGCATCCAAACATTTGATCTATGTTATCCTTTTTGAGAGAACAATCCCAAAGAGAGCTCTGCCATAATGAAATTATTATATATAAAACCGTAGTTGTAATTATCTATATATTAATGGGCATAATAATTATTATAGTGATCACAACAACCATTAAATAAAATACCCCCGCCGCAGCAAACCTGCAGACTTAGCGAATTTCCATTTGCCTGATTGGATTTAAACTAAAATGTCTCCTTAAAAATATCACATTTATTCCCTATTTAAACAGAATTAGTTTAATGAGTACTTAGGTTTGCTGCAACAGGGAGGGTAAACAAGTTTTTTTATCTAAAATGTTAAAAGGTACTGTGGTTTAGTAAGAAGTTAATGTATTTTCCAAATTTGATTAAAATATTTTCATAAACAAGCAAACTACAACAACAGTTGACTTCTGCTCCATAAGAATAACATGGGAATTTTAAAATTACAATTTTTTTGAATTTTCTCCGTAACAATTAGGCGCATAATAACGCTTCAATATACTAAATTATTTGTTTTTTTAAGCTCTACAAAATGGTTTGAAAAGAAATTTAGAAATTTGGTGTTTTTAGAGTCAAAAGTGGGAAAAACCTATTTTTACCCCATAAAACCCCCCATAAACCCCCGTTCCCATAGTCCGATCATGCTGGTTCGCGAACTCATTCAAGTTTATCCCGCCTTACACCTTCAAACCAAATTTCATCAAAATCGGACAAAAATTACTCAAGTTATCGTGCGGATGGACACATATATATATATATATATATATATATATATCTATATATATCTCTCTATATATAGATATATAAAAATTTGAACGAATGGTGTTTTTGGCCTCTGGGGACATCAAAATGAAAAAGTAAATCGGTCCCGGGCTTAGGTCTTACCATGAGACCTACGGTAATAGCTACTTCCCTATAGGGAAATTCGCTAAAAAGAGCTGTGGTTTTCAATTACTTTTTGAGTTATGTGCTTGCTAAAATAGTAGTATGAGAAGGTTAAAATAATAGCTCTTAACAGTAAGAGGGAGACAGCATTTTTGATAAGAGATTTCTCGCTTTGTACGAAACCTATTGGACTGTGAGTAGGGAAGGATGAGGCTAAAACCAATTTTAAAAAAGCAGTGGTAAAAGTTTTTGGAGGGATCTGGTAGGAAGTTGAAGGATAAAATACCTTTATTCCTTTACATGTGTTTTACTTTTGGTGAGGAAGAGAGGATGACGGCCAAAAGAATTATCTCCCTTGTCTGCTTATGTAAGGATATCGTTTGAATGTAAAATCTTACCAAATTTAGAATCCTGAGTACCTTCTTCATCTGAATGTATCCAAAAATCCCAACCTCAAAATAGATTTCTGATTGGTTGGTATAACCAATATTGCAAACATCTTGTGGCTTTTCAAATGATAAATGTTCTTCACATTAAAAGATGGCAAAGAAATAAATAAAATAGAGAAACTCATTCTGTATGATTGCACAAAGACCACACAAGGTTTGTTTGGATTTAAATTTTTTTCAATAAATTTCACTAGCCTACTGTACCTGTTAAGTTTGGGAACATCGTAGCCCTTGTCTATGTACTCTATGCCAGCTGGCACCGCCATCGTCAGCAACAGCCGTGGTCTTCCCGTCTTTTCATGCTCTCTGTCAAACTCTTCTCTAAGCTCCTACAGAACATGAGATAAATCATTACAGGTTTAATCAGCTGTTAATATTTCCGCTTTATTGAATCAGCTGGTTTTTATTTATAGTGTTCTTTGTCATTTAAAAATGGGGTTAGAAGGGTGCCGATTTTAAAAAGGCTGTCTTATGAGGAAAAATAGCTAAAAATTTAAATTGAGTCATTTTATATAGTACATTTTTCTTTAATTTCCACTTATAACACCATTTACATGAATTAAAATACCTACATAAATTTAACTGTTGGAAAAATATAAATGTTAAATATAAATTAATGTAAAAAAATCATGACTGGTATTGAATATAGTTGAATGGCTGACCAATTGATATGCATAAATAAAATTAACAGGATGCCTTTGAAATAATGTTTCCCAATCTAAATATCTACAGTATAGCGCTATGCTCAAATGGCAAACACAATATAGGTAAGGACTGTGTGTGTAAGCCAAGCTACTGGAGGTCTAAAGTTCGGTACCATGACCGCTTTTTGGCTTCTGGTTTTATGGAACTTATAGTATTACGAATTCCTTTACAGATTCAAAAACCCAGAACTTCCATATAATGTTTGGACAAAAGGATCTTGCTGTAATAGATGTGCATCTATGAAACTCACATGTAATAGTAATAGTTCAATATTGTATGTAAAAATAATTGCTTATTTATTTTTTGTTTACCTGCACTAATTGAGCGTAATTGTCTCTGTCCCTGGGTTTCCCTCCGTCTCTAAAGGCAGGATACTCCCAGTCCAGGTCCAAACCATCAAAGTGGTTTACTCGTAAAAATTTTACTACATTCTTGACAAACTCCTTTCTTCTCTCGTCGTCTGCTACGAGAGGAGAGAACCTCGCAGAACCCTCGTTCCATCCTCCGATGGCCAACATCGTCTTGAGGTTCTTGTTGTAGGATTTGAGTCCGGTGAACTTCGCATAGCCACCTGGAAAAGGAGGATATTTTTTAAATGTCCTTTTCTGTTGTGGTAGTGAAGTGTAATGTGCTCTGAGTTGAAAACATTGAGAGCTAAATACCAACAGTAGGTACTCGTAAGTCCTCCTTTCTTTACTATAGTAGTCTTTGTGAATGAAGAGTCGTATAAAAATTGACAGGTATAACCTGGTACTCCAGGTTCGATGATAAGACGAACGGTTGAGAAATCTTACCCTGTAAAACAACTACCATCAAAAAACGCCAACATCTTTGGCGAGGCTGAAAACCTTAGGTGTAAGTGTCAACATGGTTAAGGTAAAGTTTTTTTAAGCCCGAAGAACAATGAGTACATAGTTTAAACAAATTTAAATGTAGAATATCTATCTACGCACGAGCCGCAGGCGAGTGTGGGAAGTCTCTCGAGTGCAGCAATGGTATACTTTGCACTCGCGTTAAACATTATATTTTTCCTACAGTAACTATAAAATAAAGCATAGAAATTATTAGTCTTTCAAACACTATACACTATACACGTTTTTAGGTTGGGGTAAAAGATGGAAATAAATTTCGACTCAAAATGTAATTAAATGATATTAATTTAGTTTCTCAAAGATAGATTCTAAAGGTTTTGACTATTGCCAGTAGTTAATTGAAGAAATCTTATTAGAGAATTTTTTTTCATTTGCATCAGTTATTTCTTGGATATCACATCCCTCTTGTGTAAAAAATCACTCAAACCACTTAACTTTAAAACAATCTAAAACCATAATACACTTCTAATCTATCTATATATTAATAGGCAAGCATGTTTCTTTAAAACCTTTTTTCTCAGCTCGTGTGCATCGTAGGGAAAATCTACGCATACTGTTAGAAAGCTATTTTCCTGTAGGTGTGCAGAATCCCTTTATAAATTAAAATAGGCTCAAAAATAAGCACAAAAAATGAATTTAAAATTTTGAAAAATTTAACATGGATATTATGAGTTGCCATGCTGACGAAATAACAACGAAATATAAACAGAAAATCAAAACAAATGGAAGAAACTCCAATCACATGTTCTATTCAAAGTGTGGAATGAAAATAAAGAAGTCTGTACATTAAATATTTTTGGTCGAGTTTCGACCACTGGACGACCTCTAGTCAAACCTTAATAGCCTACACAAAAGATTTAAAAAAATATTCAAAAATATAAATTAATATTTACAACAGTTTTAATCTTACCTTGCTCAATGTCCTGGTACTTGTCGTAAGGCCTGAGCCCATTCTCGCGGTCCAGCCCTCCAAAGGCGTAGATGAGATGGGTACACAGGTAAGGGTTGATGTTTTGAGGGTTGTATTTGGCCGTGCCAGGTCTGTAGACGCTCCAGTTGGTGTAGTAGCACACCACACGCTTCTCGTTGGATTCTCTCTTCTCTATCGAGTCTGAAAACAAAGGGAATGTAAGGTACAGAAGGAAACACGTTTATGGGACAATTGTGTGCTTTCAGCTACCTCTGGGATGGCAATATACTTTGTGACAAGCAAGGAAGAGCACTGTGCGGAAATTCCTATAGTACAGGGTCTTCCTCGCCCGTGACCGTTGCAGTGCATGAAGAAGGTGTGATACTTTACCCTAGACTTCAGCACTAGAACACCACTTAAGTATACCATGGAGTGTATCATATGTCCCTTACTGCTCTGTGGTAAATGGAAACTGTCTAGAGGGTGCTTTGTTGCCAAAAACAATGCCAAAAATTCACCAAAACTTTAGTTTGTGTTGATCTCTTTTATCAAAATATTGGACTTAATTGTTGTTGTATCATAAAAATAGTTGCCATAAAATGTGTTAACACATAAGTTAACTAGGATTTAGGTTAACTAAAAAAATTACAACTATCTGAGTACAATCACACATCTGTAACTTGAAGAAACAGAAATTTCAAATATTGATTTAAACTCTTCTGAATTTCCTTAGCTTTGCATGAGAAGTGCATAACAGTTAGAGTTAGCTGCCAAGTAAAAACATACGGCAATGGTAAGAACAATAGGGAACATTTATTTTTCTTCGCAAACACTTTTAAACAATCCATAAAAATCAACTAAATCTACAGCTATAGTAAAATGCACAATAATGGACTGGTAAAAGCGGTAAAAGTTGGAGGAATTGTAATTGTAAAGTCGTATTTTCAAGTCTATATATTTAATAGACAAGTATGTTTCTTGAAAACCTTTTTTCTCAGCTCCTGTGCATTGCAGGGAAAATCTACGCATACAGTACTGTTAGAAAGATATTTGCCTGTATATGTGCAGAGTCCCTTTATAAATTAAAATAGTATTAAAAATAAGAACAAAAAATGAAAAAATTACATGGGCTTAATGGGTTGCCATGCTGGTGACAAAATAAGAACAAAATATAAAGCAAATTAAATTGAAGAAATTCAAATCACATGTTTTATTTACAGCGTGGGGTGAAAATAGAGAAGTTTGCTCAATATGTATTTTTGGTGAGTTTTCGACCTCGGGGCGACCTCTAGTGTATAAATAATACAACAGTTGGTTGCCGCAAATGTTGAATTCCTGGAAGTTAAAATCAGCTGTTAAAATTTTTATTGGCCCATTTTCAAACGGTTTAGTCATTATCAGTTGATACACTAAATTTAATTGCTGCAGCAAAGCTAACTATCTTGACCATTTAGAACTTATGGAGACGGTAGATTGCAATTGTTACTATAAATGGTAGAATGCACAATCAAAATTCCAGTTTACTGAAGAACTTAGAACTCGTTTGGATCAAGCGGACAAGAGGCAATGAATTGTCAGTCGTTGAGCTACCGAAGGAGTGGTAGCCGTAGTAGGTTTTCATGAGGTAACATACCAATAATGGCGAGCAAGACACGTGCCCTCTTTTCCTTCAAGTCACAACGAGAGAACATTTAAGGCTTGCAAGCTCTTGTATGGATAATAAGTTATGCAAGGTAGACAGGATTGGCTCAAAGTATATTTTTACGTAAATTTTTTGGATGTCATGAAACAGTTTTTGCTTCTTTTCTCATATGTACATAGGTCTACAAAATTGTAAATATTCAAATGAAAATTTTACAAACTTTTGCAGGGTAACACCCAAATGTCAGGCTGGAAGTTGAATCTAACAGTCATCAACGAGGGCAAAAAAAGAAAGCAAAAATAAAAAGTACCATATAAGTTTGCATTTTGTTTCCTTACAGTACAATAACTTTAGACTAAAACTAAAAGTAAATTGTGTGTCTCTACACACTACTACTCATAACCGTATTATGAGGAAAAGCGTTTCAAAATAGAAATAGAGTATAAATCCACACTTATCCGAATTTGCTTGAATTTTTATTAAGACGTTTCTTAATAAAAATTCAAATTAATTCTGGTAAGTGTGGCTTTACTCTATTTTCAAACGCTTTTCCTCATATACGGCTGAATTCTGAATAAAGTTGAAGATTTATAAGTCATATTTGCAATACCGAACTTAAATGAGACAACTCAATTAAAAAATGTATGAATCTTAAATGATGAAACTGATGATAATGAAAGTGACAGAGAAAATTTAATATTATGATTTCAAAATAGAATTCACAATAGAAAATAAGCAAATAATGAATCATCCTTGGTAGTTGGTACCAATCAAATTATTTTATGTATTTTCCCAGTGGCAAGAACAAGAACAATGTGTATATACTGTAATGTATAAATAGAACTTCCCGTCTCCCTGAAGATGCCATCACATACTGTGGCAAAATATATTTTGGAGGAATATAAAATATTTCTGCAAGAACAAAGACAGTTAACAATAGTTCAATAAAACAATCAAATGTTTTCTTCTAATCAAGGTCAATCGATTGGCCTTGAAAACTTGGTATCCTAGGTATGCAAATTACTGCAAACCAGTTTCGGTGCAATCTGCTGCTGCATTATCAAAGGCTGTTAGCGTAATTATATGATTGGCTATAAGTATCCCTAAAAGGACCAGCCAAATGTTTTGTTTATTTTACCTTATTTCTTAACAGAAGTAGCCTAATCGCTTGATTGAGTTGTAAAACAGCTTTGGTAGTGAAATGTGGATTGTGAGTAGGGGAGTGTATTGACCATGACCATGACCATGATGTATTGAATAAGGAAAGGAACAAAGGAACCAATTAAGGATGGTCTATTGTCATTGCCATGACCAACCCCATTTATAATACTCTAGTCTATAGGAGTTGAATAGTTAACTGTGAATCTATCTTTAAAATTCTATATAACAGTTAAATTTATGCTTTAAATGTTCTTTGCAATTTAAATAAAAAATAATTTCTAGTAAAAGTAATAGTGTTTTAAAGTCTTTAGACCTTATGATATCTGCCCCCTTCATTGGCCTATTAAATAGCTTTTAGTTTTGAAAACCACAAAACACCGCCTGATACTGTTCAGTCTCTTGACCTTATTGGATAGAGAGATCTTAACCTATTTCCCACTTCCACAGGTAGATATCGAAGATGAGTCATGCAATCGGTATTCATAATGAGAAATGATGAGCCAATAGAAGAGGATTGTACAATAATGATAGACCGATCAGACACTTACACTCAGACAAGAAAGGAAAAGACGAATAAGCAGACGACCTTGTGTGAAAGTGAAGTTGAAGATGGACCGTCCTTGAAATCCCGCCAGTTATAAAACAGCTGATCACCACCTGATTTAGCAGACAGGTTCAATATTCCAAACACGTCCGAAATGTTTTTGGTTCGTCAAAGACATTCGAATCGTGGTGTTTGTTGGATTGCTGGTCTAGCTGTAACTGTGTATGACAAGCGATGTCATTCAACAGGTTGTAGCATGGATTTTATCTTGTGTTCATCTACAGCATTGGAAATTTTTACGTTTTTGTGAAGGAACGACCCAAGCCCTGGTGTTGTTTTTAACATAGATCTTTTTGAGATTGCAACATACATACGTAGGTGATTTTTTTTTAATAAGGGCCATTTTTCATATAAACCTGTATTTCACTTGTACGCCACAACGAGGCTCCTCGCGACTTACTGGCATCACTTTTGAACAGAATGACACAATTTCAGCTCTGTAGCTGACATGTACCCTTCGCTGTGGGTTTTCAATTTTTAACCATCCAAGCTCCCGCCGCGTGCGAGATAAGGTCAGTGATAAGTTTTTTGATCACATTACAAGAAACATATCCGATGCCGACATTATTTATTGCCTGATGATGATGACTGAAGGCTATGTTAATGTTAGGGTAAAGTGCAGAAATGGGTTATGGAGTGTAAAAATGGCCGTGTAACTATAACCATTTACCAGGTAAATGCTTAGGCCTATAGGCACATTCTTTGCTAACGATATATTAAGGAAATGTTCCCACGCTTTTAACATTGTTGTTGTTTATTATTCCTTCCTATATTGATCCTTCCTGGAAACGTTAGCCGCAGTAGTCCTGTCCTTTACTAGGTAACGTTCATAGACCAAATCTCCCGACTTGGCCAGATTGAAGAGATCTAAAATCAATGGTTAACCATTTAATGAAGTTAGAATAGGCAATGGTCCCGCATTGATGTATTTCCAAGGTGGTTTCCCTTGTAGGGAAATTAACTTGGTGTTTGTAAAGATGAGGACCGAGGAGCTAATAAATCTGGATTAAATATTTAGCTAAGCGTATCGAAGTCGGAGCAACTCGTTATACAATTCGATATCCTTTGCCAGGCCGATCCACTGCATAATGGATATCCATTCACTAAGGGTGGTGGGAACCAGACGATACGACTGTTCAAATGCGCGGCGTTTCGAAAGCGTCAATGAGAACGAAGATTAACGCTTTATGTGAAAGAGAAGGGCTGCGGCTGAAACAGAATCAAATATCGACACCGAAACAAATTGAGATTGAGATGACAATCAAATGGAACGAGATGCTAGTAATGAAGATTTGCCACTTTGAATCTGAACTCTTAACGATTCGGGTTTACAATTTCGTAGCCATACAGCAAATACAGTAAACAGTACTATCTCGATATATTGATTAGTATGTTATAGCTTATACCATGGAGGATATTTGTATATCTGTAAGGATCACAATTTAAATTTGGTTTATTTATCAATATCTTTTACAAACTTTCATACAGATGGAACTAACATTCTTAAATTAAGAAGCTCTAACTCTGAGAACTAACTCACTTTTCCCCCTTTAAATTTGATTTGCAGATTAATTAATTAATTATACCGTTTATCACAATATCCCCTTGTATATAGTGCAATGTCAACAAGTTAAATAGCGTTTTAATCCAAACATTTGAAATCTCAAAGAGTTGCTAATTTGTTACAAAAGGCGTTATATGAATTGCTGCTGTTTAGTTTTATATTCGTAATTAATTGTTAAAAAATAAACGAACCCCTAAGTGGCGTGGAAACAATTTAATACTATCCTCTTTGGCTTATTTAGTTTCCAGAGTCCAACGCCCATTTCCATCTGTTTCCCTTAATTTCCATAGTTGCAAAAGCAAGAGTATGGGAACTCGGTCAAAGTGAAATCTACCACAAAGAGCTTCCACACGCCCAGTTCTCACATCTAAAGTGACCAAAACGCCACAAACTCAAATGAAGTTCTCGACTAACTACAAAGATTTGTATTGTTTCAGAATAAAACATTAAAGACATCCTCTTAAATCTCATGAAACTATCTCATGATGAAAGTACTTTGATCTAATAATGAGAGTGAGGAAAATCAGTTTACATTGACGTGATCTACTCATGTAACTCTTTGTTGAATTGAATAACATTTAAACTAAATCTTAAAACACATTCTTGTATATTCTTCTGCGATTAATACTTTAGACTGAAATAGCGACCATACGAAGGTAGGTATTTTAAGCCAAAAGTATGAATGTAGATGAGAGTGTAGGATGAAAAAGTAAACATTTTACCGTATGCTATACTCAGTAATAAATTAAAAGTTTAGGAAAGGAGAAAAATATATTCAGGTAGAATAAAAAGTAACTCATTACTCAATTTTTGTATCGTAAAGAAAAACTCAAAATTTTAAACACGTAGGAAACATTTAACCTTCAGTTTCAGTTGCTGCACTATCGTTTGTAATATCAAGGACCAAAATACTATTAAAATACTATAAAGAAGAGACGTATACTAAAATCTGTATTCAAAAACAAATCCTACCTCAAAATATCGAGCCTACCATGGTTATATATAATATTCTTGACGGTGAATTGGCAACAACAGCGTGAGCTAATGTCTGTCAAACGAAACTGCAATTTTCTTTTCAAACTTACAATTGTTCCACAGATTCTGCCAAATCAAATGAAACAAGAAACAAACTACTGTATTTATTCTTTGCAATGATACTATCTGCTCGTTTAGCATCACAACACTGGACGACGATGGGATTTTCACACGTACAGTTTTATTGACCATAGTTATGTCCACGAGCTGAGCTCATTCCAGTGTTTTATATCGTCCGTATCTGTCAAAAGGCGACAGCGACAACGGGTGTTCAACTGATTTACAGAAGCACTGCAGTGATCGCATCAGTGATTTCAAGGTCTACTGATTTCCTCGAGGACCCGTTTGAACCAGATTGATTGACTGAATTACTAAAATTACTGAACGATTACTGAAATTAAATGCTAATCAGGGCTAAACGGCTTGTAGCAAAGATGTTTGTTTTTCAATCCTGCTAGATTGGGTTAGCCGGGTTTTTTACTAACTGTCCTGATATAGGTGGTGCATTCGTTGTACAGGAACTCAAGTGTATTAATTTACGACTACGATACACATAAAAGAGCAATTATCTGGCAACCTGACCATATTAATGAATCAAATGTCAAATATCAATGTGTAAAACCGGAAATGAGGTGTACATTTATAGAAATTTTCTCGCAATATGTAGTATAATATTTATGCATACAGGGCAAGAACTGGAAGAACAAGAAGGATAACAACTATAAATAGTTGATTTATTAACAAAAGAAGATTGGAAAAACAGACACACATTTGTTGTACTCTCAGGTTGTAACGGTCTAACTAATGGTTCCCATCCTGAGGTCTCTTGGTTCATATCTTTCCAAGCAATTAAAAAAATGGACGTAACCAAATGGTTCATTCTTTTGGCGTTCATTCTATTCTGTCTTAGACTCATAATAAAGAAAACCAATAATGGTATCTCTCTTAAATAGAGATTACCCTAGACGCCATGTGTTAAACACTATTTGTCACATACATTTCTTTAGTATCACCCCTACACGACTTGCTCGTGTATCCGGTTCGAAGGACCATAAACGCTCGTGCCACGGTCGGTCAAGAGTGGAACTGGAGCAAGGATAAGACAGAACGATATCACACCAGTTGCGTCACACGCTCATTTGGACACGGCTTTGGATGGACAGGCCATTGTGGTCGGATGAAATCAACTAAAGTGAAGATCCTTGGGTGAACTGGGGCGAAGAATCGTTTGGATTGAGATTGATCTTGGAGTTGGACTTTGTGGCCTAGGTAAGTTTGTGTCACAGTGGTTAACATGAAAGAGTGGAGGAGATTGGATTGTTTGAAGGTTTACTGAGCACAAACTCAATAAGGGTCAGTCATAGAACTTAATTCTAGATTCAACAGTAGACATCCATATATGTGGACCGTGTTTAATTTTGGCAATAGGAAACAGTTGAATAAGCCTTTGCCAGAATGGACAACTGTCAGGCTATTTTCTCTATTTGTTTCCAATACTTTAAACGTTGCAAAAAGTATTCATCAGTTACAATAAGCTGAGTTTTTTAGTTTGGCTTGGTTGGAAACCCGTTGTGACAGAAGTCATTAACTAATCAAGATCATAGTAGGTTTTACCTTTGTCAAATAGTCCAACGATTAATATTGGGCTATGGCCTTTCATTAGCATCTTTCCAACGATTAAAACAATTGATATTCATGAATTCCTAAAATGACTACCTTAATAATATTTCCAGAGTCAAGCCAGATAGGCTATTTCAAGTAGAATCTAACCCATTAATATTTAACCATATTTTTACATTGCTTAATGTATGATCGAATAATTAAAATAAGGTTCACTTGCACCTCCTGACCTAACCTCTTCTGTTTCTGTTGGAGGACGAGCATTGCGACATTCAAGGTCGCGGAAGACTTCCCAGCGGCACGATATCGTGAAGAATCTTCGTGACTCCCTGAGAGCTTTTTGTCATCTTCGTCTTCCAGACGTTTATGAATATGAACGTCTAGTAAATTCGTTACTACTAGACGGAGGAAATAACTTCTAGTATACAACATAGTCCTTTTCAAAAATTCCGTTTCAACAAATGAATCCACTAATGAAAATGAATGGACTAAGTAAGGCTCAAATAATCCAAAGTACACATTTTGAATGTTTCAGTGCGTGATGTCTTTCTAAAAAATTCTTAGAAGAAGGCATTGAGTGTTATGTATATCTGGACTGGAAATCGTGTGAAATGTTTCCAAAGGGCAAACCATTCATGGTTCGCTATTTGAGGGACAACAAATAATACCGCCAGTGAAAGATGATTTGCCACCAATAATAGGTTTCCCAGAAAGGATGCGTGGCATCAGAGGCGAAGAATGAACGGGAAGATTCTCCATTTGATTTCCTTATAGGATCGTTATGTCCTTGGACGCATCTTTACATCGTCTCAGTCGACATACCGAGAGTACTTGATGGGAAAGCACCGACGAAAGTTCACGAAACAGTACTTCGTGTGTAATAACTATTTGTAGATTTGTAATGTTTGGTGATTTAAGTACCAATAAAAATTCCTTTTTTCTAGTTTGTACTTTCACAATAGTCCCTTTATTGAAGCTAGAGCGTGCTTTTGTAATAATTTATGAACATTACAGAAATATTGTACAACTTTAAAGTATATTTCCCATGATTGAAAGACATACTTTGGATGAAATTTCATATTAGCCTATTTAATTCCGTAAATAATCATTTATTGAAATCTTCCAATTAAATTACGTAACTTACTACCATTTGATGAAATAGATAAAATAAAATAAATAATGTAATTTAAAATTTACGTTGAAAATAAACTAAGGTGGGATGGGATCACAGAATTACTAGCGGGGACTGTTCTGTCAATTTCGTTGACTGGTGAAATGCATTTTTATCGATATCCAAAACAAACAATTAGTAAACAACACTTGAACCAATTTCAGCTCTATTAACCTAATTCTTGAATTCTCTTCTGCGATTTCAATAGCTTAAGGCTGTATGAATCATCAGACACATATATCACTCATAAGGGAAGGAAAGTTAAATAATCACTGCTTGAGGGCTACACGTTCAAGATAAAAGAAGGAATTCACGTATTCCAAATTTGACTGAAAGGGCCGTTTTCACGACCAAAGGGGAAACTCTGCAAATTGGCAGTGTGTGCCGATGTTATGCAACGCAAGCAGCATACGGTGGAGTTATGCACACAATCAAGATGCATAACTTGACTCCGTTGTCATAGTTATGCTAATCTAGCTTTCTAACACGTTACTGTCATTAATGTTTTATTACAACCCCTATACAACAAAGGATACTTTGGTATTATACCGACCACACCTAATAATTATAACCTAACCTAACCTAAGGGTGGACTATGTTTTAGGTTAGGTTAGGTTGGGAAGATTTTGTTATTTTAATTAAAATCTTATTTGGAAGTAGATTTTTTGTGGTCGGTATAATACCAAAGTACCCATTCTTCACATCTAGGAACAAAAAGATAAATCCCCTTTCCACAGAGTAATCATGAATACTTACGAGAGACTGCGGTGGAGATGAAGACCACTGATAACAGGGTCGACAGCTGCCTCATCTGGAACAAATTATAATTTTTTTAAACTCCATGCTTTACGTTTAGAAAACTTCATTCAAACCTAACATATTTCATTATGTCCTTTGGTTGTGATTAATAATCACTGCAATTGTGATGAATAACTACCTAAAATTGTTGATTTGATATTCAATTTACTTATACTGAATACACTCCTATGTACATTTTTGTCATCCTTATGGATGGAACTGTAGCAATATGGATGGAACTGTAGGCAATTAAAAATATTCTTCTAGGGGTGTGTCGGTAACGAAGTCTTAGGGAAGTCACTACCAGCACGGCCACCTTTAACTCCCATAGTTAAAGGTGGCCGTTCTACCAGTACCGGAAAGCTGACCAAAATTCAGGTACATGTATGTGTGTGCACCTGTGCATGTGTTCATGTACACCTGTGGTCAAATTTAATGAAATTAGGTTTGTAGGTATTAATCAATAATATCTCCAGGCTTTTGATTGGTAATGGAAACTTTCCTATGAAATCCATTAAATCAAATCAAATCAAAATCTCTTTATTCCTGAATTAATGTGTTACATGTTTGTTAAAAATTGTGTGTACAGGAAAAATAATTCCCAAGTAGACTATCCGTCTGTGTTTGGGAATGAGTTGCTAATACAGCTATACACAGGTCCATAAACATTCAGGAGTACTTAGCCACTTAATGATGATAGTAAATAAAAAAATATTAACAAGATCAAGAGAGAAAAAAAAACCTAATTGCATCGAAACATCTAAAACTCAAATTTAGAGATTGTAAGTGGTATTTGGCAATGAAGGAAAAAAGTGATTTGGTGACGCATGAAACTGCAGAAATTTACGAGTACAACGATTTGAGTAATCCTTCTGATTGCTCCTCTGATTAAACTATGGTAAATCAGATTTTCACAAAAATGGCCAAAATGATTTTGATCAAAATTTACTATATTATCACCCTTGTTATAAACCAAATGGTACAATCCATATTGCTATAGAAATTACAATTCAAAGGTTATTGCATTTTTTTCTGATTTTCACATCCAATTTCATACATAGCTACTCCCACCCCCATGCTAGGTTGTTGACAAGCTAATGAGAGAATGTATGTGTATTGCTGACACTGTTTATTTTATTATGTTGCACGTAGATGACAAATCTACTACTGAGTCTGTTTTATTCAATGGCGGTAGTGTAGTGTGGTGATGTGTAAACAGCGTGGGTCCCAATACCCTACCCGGGAGCTTACCTCGACAATGACTCAAACACTTTCCCAACACTGCGTAATACTCAATGCTTTCACTGTAATAGAGATCCCCGCATAAATATGCATGATATGATAGGCTGACGCTAAGGTGAGCCTACACACCAACATTAGTGTAGTTCCAAATTTTTTTGTGGATTAGTTTGGAAATTAATTTCTGAGTTTACTGTTTAGCCTTTAAGTTGCTCTTACAATTCAGTAAGATTAAAATAGTTTGTGTACAATGAGTAAAACTTATTTGTACAGCAGAAGACTCCTTCGGTAGCTAAGTTTATCTAAGTTCGGGTTGATTGTGAAATCGGCTAAAAACAACTAATGTCTTAGGATACTGTTCGTCGACTTATCAGCCTTATGTGAAACCTAACGCACAGACAATTATAGCAATCTTTACTGTATTTACCATATTACTATACTTTTACTATACTATATTTTGTCTGTGCCTGAAACGTGCATAGTGTATGTTTCTTGCCCAGTAGACCGCTTAGAAAGGTTGACTAACCTTTTCCGATATTGTAAGATAAACTTTTCCGTGAGTACTATAAGTTTTCTTTGAATTCGTTAAAGCAATAATTTGTGGTCTTATCGTTTTCTCTGTTGAAACTGGGTTTAATCATACATTAAACCCCCCTTGTGTTGGTTAGTCTATGGTTTAATGCTATGAAATATAGTAATCATTAAAACCGTCTCTTTATACTTCGGCAAAATACACTCTTCAGCTAATCCAAAATAGTTTAAGGTAGATTGTTCAACGTTGCTAGTTATCTTCAACTAATTTCTTATGGCATTAAAAATATGAATTCAATTTTTTTTAAAGGCCACCATTTTCTAATAGGAGGCTAACTTCAACATTTCCAATGGAACACCTTGTATTTTATGATTGTTTTAGTATGTAAATACAATTTAAGAACGGTTTTTCGTTTAGGAACTACAGTGTGTTAGACTACACCTTGAAAAAGGAGGCTTGCTGTGTTCATTCTGCATCCTGTAGCTCATAAACAAGTGAGTTTGGAGAGGAAATGCTACTATTAAAAAGTATGAAAAATTCATTTACAGTCTAAAAACATCATAAAATACGGGTTGTTCCACAACAAAACCGTTTTTTTGGCAACCGTTAAAAAAGTAGAATTGAAATATGTATAATACAAACACTTGATTCACAATTAACAAAAGCTATTAGAACACAGATAAAAGTGACTCAATACAAACTTCTAACTAAAAACAACCTTACTTTTATGTACATAAAAACCTCCCACCTATATTTTAAGACAAATTAAACCCCAAAACTGACCACTATACAACAATATACAAACAATTATCATTTGTATCTCGCTCAAACTAACATGAAAGGTAAACTGCTAGCTTCTTTCAGTATAAACTTAGCTGGTGTGCTTGTAGCATTATCCAATCTAGGGCACGTCCGTCAGACGCATGTATTATACACAGTCGTAAGTCAGGATGGTCGGACTGCGGCAGGTCCGGATTACCGCACTGTCCGGCTTGACCAAATACGTCCGGTTGTCCGGTTATATAAGCGTTATATCACAACTACTTGTCTTGACCATCTTAGCCTACAGGTCAATTACATGGTTAGGTTAGGCGTGTCCCAAAACTATGTAGGATTTAAACGTTTTCTTTAATAATTTTATTCGATTTCTTTGAGAAAAACGCTGTGGCAGACATACGGGAAATCATTAGATCGAATAAATTAAGTGGCAGTTTAGTAAAACTAGAGGTCGTCCAGTGGTCAAAAACTCGACCAAAAGTATGTTATGTACAGACTTTTCTATTGTTCACCCCACCATGTAAATAAAACATGTGATTGGAATTTCTTCCATTTGTTTTGACTTATTTGTTTATATTTTGTTGTTATTTTGTCCCCAGCTTAGCAACCCATAAGGCCTATGTTAATTTTCTTTCATTTTAAATTAATTTTTGTGCTTATTTTTTATCCTATTTTAATTTATGGAAAGAACTCTGCACATCTACAGGAAAACATCTTTCTAACAGTGTGTATAGATTTTCCCTGCGATCCACACGAGCTGAGAAAAAAGGTTTTCAAGAAACATGCTAGCCTATGAATATATGTTCATATGGTGTCTTGCAAACATATGAAAAAACTTTGTCACGTTATTCAGCATTTCAAAAGAAAAAAAAAACTTACTATAACTGTGTCCTATCTCATTTCGTTTTAGTCTGTCTGTATGCGATTTTTACAAAAAAACATCCTCTAACTCCATAACTGCTTGAGCTACAGCTTTAAAATTCTGTAAAAATGTTTATCTTATTGGCCACTATGTTTGTGCAAAATCTAAATAAAACTCGTGAACAGTTGTCTTTATTTAAACAATGTTAAATTCAGAAAACTACTTTTTAACATTACAGTATTTAAATTAATAAAATTTAAGGTATGACAAGAATAAAATTTAACTTCTGAGTTATTATTTGTCCAAACTAAGCCTTACTAGATTTTACATATCCAGCAAATATTTTTTTAATATACGGTTCATGAAATTTGGCGTACAATATTTGAAAAAGCCGCAATTTTTAAATGGTTCAAGATTTTCGTTATGATTTTTTAATTTCATTTATTGTTCCTTATGACATGCTGAATAACGTGACAAAGTTTGTTCATATGGTTGCAAGACACCCTGTATAGGATATTAAAATATTGTTTTTGTTTCCTTAAATCGTAACTCAAAACCTTAAACTAAACGAAGACTATTTTACAATTGACCTCGAAAAGTAATCATATATCGACTGAACAATTCATCAAGTATTAATGCAGTAGTTTATTAGAAATGTTAATAAACGTTGTTTGAAAATGATAACATTTGTTGAGTCAACGTAAAATTTACAAGTGATTTGGAAGTGTTTTACAAGGGGAAAGCAGGTGGTAATTTTAATATCACAAGTAGAAAGCGACATCCAGTCATCGTCATGTCGTAACCGATTGACTGCGATTATCGATGCTTAAGTAATCGATACATCGATCATTAAGTAACATGTGAGGTGTAAGGAAGTGGAACTGAAATTCAAAACTAATAACAAATTATGCAATGAATGCTTTTGATTTTGATATATATCCTTTGCGTATAATGTTCTTAGACAAATTTCATCATTTTTACTATAGGTTACTATGAAGTAGATATTCCATTTCTATGTTTTAAGTACACTACAGCCGAGTTTACTATAAAAAATAAATAAAAGGTAATTCCTTTGGGCCGCCGACAAGGTATGTGTTGTGGAATGCCGTTTTTATTATCTAATACGATGACTTTTAATTCGTCGTAAACTTAAAGAACGACGTATTTCTACTAGTGTATTTGTATGCCCCAATTAACATACATAGTATAAAATATAAAAGTACAAATAGAAATGTCATGGAAGCACAGCCTATGAAAGGCTAGTAAAAACAGAAACAAATCTTTCAATAAAAAACCAACTGTGTACAGAGTTTAAGTATTGAAGGAATGCCTCCTTAAGTGTCCAAATTAATTACCATGCTCAAATTTAAGAACTTCAAAAATATATAAGTTATTTTACATTAAATTTAATATGAACTTAAACAAATAAATTATACTAATTGCGTTAAAGAATAAAGTTTTGAAGTAATTGCACAGTGGAAGGGAAAATATATAATGGAATGGTTTAATTTTAACCAAAATGAGATTAAGGGTATTATAAGGTCATAATGAATTAGGTATTAAAAATTAAAGTGTATAATTGCTCAGTAATGTTTACAAAAAA